GCGAAACGTCAGGAGAAATGCCTCTAGAACATGGCCATATAGCCCGAAAAAACCTACAACAACCCAAATAAAGTGTTGTTGTTAAGGTTTTCCAGGCGTCCGAGTCACATCTCAACAACTCCAGTCCACAAAGCATAAGGCTTTGTAGACTGTGGATGGCCATCTATTGGGGGTGCTTTGAACGCAATTTTCCTGCTTCTTGGCAGGGGATTGGACTGGATGGCCCATGAGGTCTCTTCCAACTCTATGATTCTATGATTCTAAGGCTACAAAAAAAAAAAAACCCTGCAAATATTTGAGTTGTGGGTCTTTTCCAAACCACTTTGCCTTTACCTCGGTAATGGGCTGGCGGATGGAGGAAAAGCGGCCAGGCGGAAGGCACAATGTGCTGACCACAGGCCCTTGACTGTTCAAACAGGGGTGAGCAAATATTTCCACAGGCATTGAGCAGAAATGAGGAGCCTCTATGGCCTCCTGGCAGGCCTTTCCTTCAGGGACAGTATTTCAATGGGAAGTGTGAGCCTGCTTTTGGCTGATGAGAGAGTCAAGTAAATTTGGATTGTTGTTGTTGTGTGCCTTCAAGATGTTTCAGACTCAGGGATGACCCTAAGGCTAAAGTTTAAGGCAAGGCCAGGTCAAGGGTCTTGGAAAGATGCGTCTGGACCGCAGGCCGTAGTTTGGGGAGCCCTGTTTTAATGGTTCAAAGCATTTATGCGACTACTATTGCAGGGTCTTATTGGCAAGATATGTTCAGAAGGGGTTGGTTAGTCTTTGCCGGTATCTGAAGCTGAGAGAGTCATTTCCCTATACAAGTTATGAACAAGTTTGGCTCTGGAGGTTTGTTCTGAAGTTAAACTTGTGTGGATGTTGGAACAGGGACGTTTTGAAAGTGTAAGTCCAGCAAAACCTATACACATAATAAAAGTGAAAATATGTGTGTGCGCGCGCGCGTGCGTGTGTGTAACTGGGTGTCTACTTACACAGACAGACTCCTGCCTCCACAAACAGGCTATAGCTCCCACTACTCAGGAGACACCAACGGCCCTCCCTCCAATGACACTGCAGGTTATAGGGAGTGCCATGAACATGCCCAAGAGCCCTGCCCAGAGTCCTCCATCCTGCCCACCACCCAAGTGAAGCCTTTCATATGGGGACAATTCCATCCTAGATTTAATATGTTTCCTCCACCACAGACATCCCAGTGTTTCTTACTCTCTCCATTGGTGTGGAATTTGCATGACCCCGCCCACTCCCTCTCCCTTACCCCTTTCCTATTCTTTTCCATGGCACACAACAAACAGAGGAATTGTTCAGCAACTGAACATACTAGAGAGGTTTGGGGAGAATTCACCATGATTTATAGGAGTTGTAGGTACTGGGATGTATAGTTCACCTGCAAAATAAGAGCACTCTGCATTCCACCAATGATGGACCTAGAACTAACTTGGCACACAGAACCCCCATGACCAAAAAAACCTACTGGAGGTATTTGGAGGGCTTTATAAGAGTTGTAGTTCACCTACATCCAGGGCACACTATGAACACAAACGATGGATCTGGACCAAACTTGGCATGCATACCCAATATGCCCAAATTTGGAAAGTGATGGGTTTTGAGGGGCATTGGTCCGGACCTTTTGGAGTTGTAGGTACTGGGATTTATAGTTCACCTGCAATCAATGAGCACTCTGAACTCCACCAAAGATGGAATTGGACCAAATTTAGCACACAGAGACCCCATGACCAGCAAAATACTGGAGGTCTTTGGGGAATATTCACTTTGATTTGGTTGAGTTGTAGTTCACCTACATCCACCATGAACCCATGGATCAGGACCAAACTTGGCACCCAGACCTGACATGCCAAAATTCGATTACTGGAGGGGTCTAGAGGGAACTGACCTTCCTTTCTGGGAGTCATAGTTCACCCACAACCAGAGAAACTGTGAGCTGCACCGATGATGGACCTGGACCAAATTTTGCTCAAAGAACCCCCATGACTAACTCAACCTATTGGAAGGGTTTGAGGGGACTGACTCACCATAGTGGGAGTTATAGTTTATCATACAGCCAGAGAGCACACTGAACTCCACCAGTGATGCATCTACAGCATACTTGCCCAACAGTACAAATTTTAAGTACTGATGGAGTTTCTCAGGGTTAACCTGGCATGATGTGAGTTGTAGTTCACCCACAACCTTATGCATTTTGTACAATTAAGAAATTGACTTTTTAAAATAACCCGGCAACGTTGGGTACCCAAGCTAGTAATAAATAAACAGAAACCTAAAATATTAGGCAGGCTAAGGCTGCAAATCCCAGCACCTGTGCTTAATTTGGTAAGGAATTTGGAAGACTTTCAATAGTGCACCGTTCTGGAAATATGGAAACCTATATGCAATCGGTTCCTTCACATTTCCAGGTTGGACTCACAGGTTTGATTAAAATGTTCTTTCTAGGAATCCCAGGATTCTTTGGTCTGAATCTATGGCCCATTTCCACCAGAAACAGGCGGAGAAACAGCTCTGAAATCCACTCACCTGGTTCCCTTGATTTGAGACGTGAGAGATCCTTCGTTTCTGGCCGGGAAAGAGGGTGGTTAACCGGTCTTCAGTCGCCTTTTCCTCGCCCCCTTCCTCTTTCGATGGCTGAAAGAAGAAGAAGATGACATCTGCAAGGTGGCTTTAAAAAAAACCCTAAAAGGATGCTTTCTTTAGAGCCATATTTCCCAATAAACCACAAAAAGGGCAAAATGCTGACTCCTACCGCAGCCTTTGCTGATCTACATTTTGGGCCCCAACCTGTGAGCTGCGTACGAAGTCCTTGAAGGCCACTTCTGCATTCAATGCACCACTACCAATTTACTTTGTCAGATCTAGCAAATTTCCATTGTTTGACTACTTCAGGATTTGGTGCTAAAATAAAGCACATGTCCCATCATTTTAGAAAGCCCTCCTCTAAAAATAAAAATGAAACCAGAGCTAAACCTGCAGGCATTTCTAAGTTTGATGGTTCAAGTGGTGTTATTTCATTATTAGTAGTAGTGGTATGTTTAGTACTACTAATTGTTGTTTTTGTTGTTGTGGTTGTTAACACATCTGGATCCAGATATGAAGCCCACTGGTCTACCAAAGTTGCCTCTTTGCCAACACCAGACAAGTATTTATTGTAGGATTATTAATTATAAATTAATATTATGTATTAGTATCAGTAGTATTTTACTATTATTATTAATTTCACATTCCTGGGTCCTACAGAAGCCCACCAATCTGCCAAAGCGGTCCTTTTGCCAACTTGAGACTATTGTTTATTAGTACTATTATTATTACTGTCCTATTGGTATTATTATTATTATTATTAACTTTATTTGTACCCCGCTAGCATCTCCCGAAGGACTCGATGTGGCTTACAAAGGCCAAGGCCTCAATAAAACAACAGCGTAACAAATACACAACGTAAAGTAAATCAAAACATTAAAGCAATAACAAAACAGCAAAAAACAATACACCATAACACAGTAAAACTAGGGCCGGGCCAAATGTGATGGGTACAGATTAAAAAGTGCTGGGTGTGACAGGTGGTGTTTTTATGCTCGTTAGATATTGTTGAGTTTTGGTTTATTTATGTAAGGCATTTAATTTTGCCATTATTTTTGTGTAAACAGCTTCGAGTCCCCCAAGGGTGAGAAAAGCAGTATATAAATACTGTAAATAAATAAATTTTGATAAGTAGTAGTAGTATTTTTAGTATATTATCATTTCACATTTCTAGGTCCAGAGTGACTCCTATAGCCTACTAGTCTGACAACACTGCCCCTTTATAAAGTCCAGACTATTATTTATTAGTAATCATAGAATCATAGAGTTGGAAGAGACCTCGTGGACCATCCAGTCCAACTCCCTGCCAAGAAGTAGGAAAACTGAATTCAAAGCACCCCGACATATGGCCATCCAGCCTCTGTTTAAAAGCCTCCAAAGAAGGAGCCTCCACCACACTCCGGGGCAGAGAGTTCCACTGCTGAACAGCTCTCACAGTTACAAAGTTCTTCCTAATGTTCAGGTGGAATCTCCTTTCCTGTTGTTTGAAGCCATTGCTCCACATCCAGGTCTCTAGGGCAACAGAAAACAAACCTGCTCCCTCCTTCCTATGACTTCCCCTCACATATTTATAGCTGGCCCTCATCATGTCTCCTCTCAGCCTTCTCTTCTGCAGGCTAAGCATGCCCAGCTCCTCATAGGGCTTGTCCTCAAGACCCTTGATTTTTTTAGTCCGTCTCCTCTGGACACAGTCCAGCTTAGAGTCAACATCTCCCTTAGATTGTGGTGGCCAGAACTGGACACAGTGTGATTCCAGGTGTGATCCGATCAAGGCAGAATAGAAAGGTAGTATGACTTCCCTGGATCTAAACACTATAATCCTATTGATACAGGCCAAAATTCCATTGGCTTTTTTAGCTGCCACATCATACTGTTGGCTCATGTTCCCCTTCCTCCCCACGAGGACTCCAAGATCTTTTTCACATGTACTGCTGTCAAGCCAGACGTCGTCCCACATTCTGTATCTCTGCATTTCCTTTTTTCCACCTAAGTGTTAGTTTTGGCCAATCATCTCTCTAATCTGTGAATATCGTTTTGAATCCTGCTCCTGTCCTCTGGAGTATTGGCTCTCCCTCCCAATTTGGTGTCATCTGCAAACTTGATGATCATGCCTTCTCACCATTCATCTAAGTCATTAATCAAAATCCAGAACAGAACTGGGCCCAGAACGGAACCCTGCTTCTGGCACTCCACTTTTCACTTTTTTCCAGGATGAAGAGGTAGCATTGGGGAGAATGAACTTTTGAGTTTGTTCCCTTAACCAATTACAGATCCACCTAACCATAGTTTTGTCTAGCCCACATTGGGCTAGTTTCCTTGCCAGAAGGTCATGAGGGACCTTGCCGAAGGAAGGTCTTCCTGAAATCCAGATATGCTCCATCCACAGCATTTCCTGCATCTAACCAGCTTGTAACTCTATCATAGTTCCAACATTTTTAGTATTCATTATTGTCATTGTTATTATTATTTCACTCTTTCTGGGTCCAGCCTGACTCGTACAGGAGCCCACCAATCTGCCAGCATTGCCCCTTTGCCAAGTCCAGACTATTATTTATTAGTACTATTATTTTTTTAGTAGTAGTAGTAAATTTTATTGATTAGCCCTTAGGCCAGGGGTCTTCAAACTTTTTAAACAGAGGGCCAGGTCACAGTGCCTCAAACTGTTGGAGGGCCGGATTATAATTTGAAAAAAGCATTAATGAATTTCTATGCACACTGCACATATCTTATTTGTAATGCAAAAAACCACTTTAAAACAATACAATAATTAAAATGAAGAACAATTTTAACAAATATAAACTTATTAGTATTTCAATGGGAAGTGTGGACCTGTTTTTGGCTGCTGAGATAGGTTTGTTGTTGAGTGCTTTCAGGTTGTTTCAGACTCAGGTTGACCCTGAGTGAGGGCCAGGTAAATGACCTTGAAGGGCCGCATCTGGCCCCCGGGCCTTAGTTTGAGGACCCCTGCCTTAGGCCATACCACAATACCAAACCAAACAAAAAGGCTTGATAAAACTTGATTACACTCTATATAGTAAGGTAAGTATTAGTACTATTATTAATTATCTTTATTAGTAGTTCTTGTAGTAGCAGCACTTTTAGTATTCATTATTATTATTATTATTATTATTATTATTATTTCACATTTCTGGGCCCAAAGCCCACCAGCCTGCTAATGTTGTCCCTTTGCCACCTCCCAAGGTTTGAAGGAGGTGAAGGCCACCTAAGCCCTCTCAAAAGTGACTCATGTGCTTTGAATGAACTGGCAAAGGTGGGATGGGGTTATATATGCTAGGAACCCCACTCCCACAGGCCATGACCTCCCCCTCCCCTTTCACCTGTTTTCCAAGCCGGCCTTTGTCCTCCGTCTTGACGTCGGTGGACTCATTAAAAATCCGAAGGCACTCCTCCATCGGGTCGGACTCGAAATCCAGGTCCCTCTCGAGGATGGAATAATCAGCCTCATCGGAAGAAGAGGAGGAGGAAGGCTGCTTGGATAGCTTGGGACGCTTGGCACCCATCACCCCGTTATCCCGAGGTAAAGGCGAGCGGCCGTCACCATCCGAGTCCGAACTTGCACCCGGGAACACAATGGGGAGGGACCCCTCGTCCTCACTCTCGTCTCCAAAGAGGTCGGCGTGGCTTAAGGTCCGTCGTTTGCCCTTGCACTTGGCCTCTGAGTTCCCCTGCTTGGGCTTTTCAGAAGAAGGTCTCTTCCCCTTCCCCTCTTTCAGCTCTGTCTTCCTTTTAGGATCAGTGACTCGGAGCTTGTCGTCCTTTTTACCGCTGTCCACTTTTTCCACACTTGTCTTCTTATTACCTTCCTTAACCCTCACCACTCCTGGAGATTTCAGCTTGCCATGCTCCTTGTTCGGCGTGTCGGCCTGGTGCCTGTCAGGTTTCTCCTTCACCCTCTCGCCATTTCGGAGCTTCGCTTTCTCCTTGGGGGTAACTTTTATACCACCTGTTTTTCCCTCTCCCTTGTGGCCCTCAGCCATTTTCTTCCTCAGTTTCTCCTTCGGCACGCCTTTGTTCTTCCCTTCTGCTTTTCTGTCCTCTCTGAAAGGCGCTTTGGACATCTTTGGACCCTTCTCTGGTGACTCACCAATGCGGGCTCCCTGAGGGCTTTGAAGGCCTCTTGTGTCAGACTGAACAGTCGTCTCTTTCAATCCCCGAGAACCGGGATCCGTTTGTTGGGCTCCTTCGGCTCCAAACCCACTTGCCGGCTTGATTTCCACACCGCAGTTAGATTTTGAACTAGAGCCATTTGCTACTTCCCGTTCTTCCTCCGAGTCAGAAAACCGGGCCAATGGTTCAGAGTCGCTAGATGCGTCGCAGACCTTCTTGAATGAAGGAGAGTATGCCTCGCTGTGGTTGGCCCCTCTTTTACGCTTGACCCCCTTCTGCTGCTTGGCTTTGCTCAAGAGCCTGGCGGAGTAATTGGAAAGTGGGTCGTACTCCAAATCCGTTGAGGGCTTGGATTTGTCGACAACATACTTGCTGTTCCCGGCAGAGGAACTGTACTTCTTGGGATGGCTGACCACGGTGGGCACGTACTCCAAGGAGCTCCCCTTAGACTTGGAAGAACCAGAAGAATCCAAAGTGTACTTGCTAGAAGTGCCAGCGGCAGACCCAGAGAGAGGGGTAGGGTTGTAGTCGGCGCTACAACAGGCATCGTAGCTTCCTGGGTTGTATTCCAGAGAAGGGAATGGGTCTGAAGCAACCTCCAAGTTGAGCGAAGGGCCCTCGGAGGAGCAGTACTCTTTGGCTGTCTCCAGCAGCTCCTCGTACTTCTTCTTATCGCGCTCGTACTCGTCCTTGGCCGCTTCAATCGCTTTGTTGACCAGCTCCAGCTCCAGAATGCCAGCCGCCGGTTCAGGGATCTCCTCCAAGGCACCATTGCTGCTCTGGGCCACAGGTTTCGGAAGCTCTGGGTTGTAGGGGTCATAGCCGCACCCTGTGGAAAGAAGAAATAAAAAGAAATTGTTGAAGTTGGGATGAGAGAGCACTCTGGCCCCTGTCAACTATGTTCACTTATGATTGAGGAGAATGCTGAACGCAACCAATGATGGATCTGGGCCAAACATGGTGCACATATCCAACAGAACCGAGTATAGGCCAGATTTAGTACAGCAGGTTAATCAGCAGCTGCAGCTGCAGTAAATCTTGCCAACCAAAAGGTTGACAGTTTGAAGCCAGGTCAGGGTGAACTCCTGACCTTCAGCCCACCTCCCCACCAACCTAGCGTATTGAAAACAGCAATGAGTAGACGAATAGGAACTCCGTTAAGTGGGGAGGTATTTGATGCACGGCAAGCTTTTTGGCAAAAAGATGGAACAACAGCATCCCTTGTGGCCAGAACTGAGCACAGCCTCCAAAGATGCCGAATGATGAGAAAAAACCTATACAGTAGAGTTTCGCTTATCCAACCTTCGCTCAGCCAATGTTCTGTATTATCCAACGGAGTCTGCCTCCCGCCCAGATCCACAGCTGTTTCAATACATTGCAATATTTTGGTGCTAAATTCGGAAATACAGTAATCACTACTTAATGTTGCCATGTAGTGAACTGTTTTTTTTTCTGTTGATTTGTTGTAAAATATTATGTTTTGGTGCTTAATTTGTAAAATCATAACATAATTTGACGTTTAATAGGCTTTTCCTTAATCCCTCATTATCCAATATTTTCGCTTATCCAATATTCTGCCGGTCAGTTTATGTTGGGATAAGTGAGACTCTACTGAATATACCTCTATCTGTTGTCCGTCTTGTCATTGTATAATCGGCATTGGGATGAGAAGGTCGGAATATAAGTATTGTAAATTTAAAAAAAAACCAGGACCGACTTTAAATACAGGCAGCATTTTGAGGGAACTGACCCAGGATGTTGGGAGTTGTAGTCCATCCACATCAAGAGAGCACTGAGAACCCCACCGGCACACCTACCCAACATGGCCAACTTTAATTAATTAATTAATTGCCAATAATAATAATAATAATAATAATAATAATAATAATAATATACTTTATTTATTTTCCGCTCTATCTCTGCAAGTGGACTCAGGGCGGATTACAGAACACATAAATAGCACACATTCAATTGCTATTATACTGTACAATTGACAAGGACAGACAATACATAAACAGAGGTATAGGCCTTTTCCCATCTTTTTCCATCTCCGGCATCTAGAGGCTGTGGTGGACTCCAGCCACAGGGAAGTGCTGTCGCTCCATCTTCCATGCCAAGAAGCTCTGTTGTCTGTAGACGTCCTCCCGATAAATCGCCAACATGTCCTTGGGCGCCTTTTATTACCTCCCTGCTTAAAGCGGTACCTATTAATCTACTCACAGTGCTATTTTCAATCTGCTAGGTGAGCAGAAGCTGGGCTGATAGCTAGGAGCTCGCCCCAACCTTTAGATTGACAAAATCTACTGTCAAAATGAACTGTCAACCTTTAGATTGACAAAATTTTCTGCAGCTAGTGATTAACTTGCTGTGCTAAAGCCCAGCTTTAAATACTGGCAAGGTTTCAGGGGAGAATTGAAGGAGGATAATGGGGGATGTTGTTCACCCCACATCCAGACAGCAATGTGACTCCCACCAACTATGTGTCTGGACCAAACGTGGCACACATACTTCAACCCCATTAAGCCAAATCAAACTGAAATTTCACTCTATGGCTTTTGGCATTGACAATCTGTTCTTATTTTCCTTTTATCAGTTTCTTTGGTCTGCTGCCTTCCCGCCTTCCCTCTGAACAATAGAGATAAGACCACCACATCTTTGACAACCAGCTCATTTGCGTCAGTTGCCTTTAATAGTAATGTTACCAACAAATCAACCCCAAAGCAGCTATATGAACTCTTGAAAGTTTCAGTCATTCAACATCTGTTTTTGAAACGAAACAGGGAACACCTGCAGTCCAAAGCTGAACCTATAATGGGCTATAATTAGCAAGAAAAACCATTTGTTTGGGCTCAAATGTTCATCAAACCAGGAAAGGGTTATTTCAGTAACCTATTTAGAAAAGCTAGAGACTTGGTGCTAATAAGAGAAGCAGAGAAAGGCATCAGCAACCTTATTCAGGGAGATATTTCAATTATGACATCTTCCAGCTCGTATATAGGAATATAGGGATCTGCACACCTTAAACGCTGCTGATACAGTTTAGATTCCCAGATTGTAGTGCAGATGCAGAAAAAATATAGATTCCATAGACATTCCTATCCATCCATCAAAACATCTCTCCATCCATCCATTCATTCACCTAAGTATCTATCCATCCATCCATTCACATAGCCATCTTGGCCCACCAATGTTTAACATTTACACAAATGACCAGCCACCTCAAGAAGTGGCAGAGAGTTTCATCTATGCTAACAATCATGCCATCACCACTCAAGCAAGCAGCTTTGAAATGGTTGAACAGAAGTTCCCAGAAGCTTTAGGTGCTCCTATTACCTATTACAGAGGGAACAAGTTAATTCCTAATCCATCTAACACATAAACATGTGCTTTTCCCCTTAAGAACAGACAAGTATCCCAAGCTCTGAGGATAAACTGGGAAGGAACCCCACTGGAGCATTGCAGCACACCCAAATACCTGGGAGTTATTCTGAACCGTGCTCTGACTTTGCTTGAATATTAAGCAAAAAGTGGGTGCTGGAAATAACTGTACGAAAGCTGACTGGCACAACCTGGGGATCACAACCAGATACAGTGAAGACATCTGCCCTTGCGCTTTGCTACTCTGCTGCTGAATGCTTATGCCCAGTGTAGAATACATATCACCACATTAAAACAGTGGATGTGGCTCTTAATGAAACATGTTGCATTCTCACAAGATGTCTATGCCCCACACCACTAGAGAATGTATACTATTTAGCCAGCATTGCACCACCTGATATCCATCAGGAAGTAGCAGAAAGTACTGAAAAGACCAAGGCAGTGGCATTTCTGGCCCATCCTCTGTTTGGATATTAGCCAGTAAGCCAATGCCTGAATTCAATAGCTTCCTAAGATCTACAGACATACTCACAGGAACACTTCAGCAAGCGAGAGTCCAAAAGTGGCAGGTTAACACCCAGAACCTCAGTCAGTGTCTGAGGCCAGATGAGAAACTCCCTCCTGGGCACACAGAAGAGTGGGCGACTTGAAAGGTGCTGAACAGACTGTGCTCTGGCACCATGAGATGCAAAGCCAACCGTAAGAAATGGGGCTACAAAGTAGATTCCCCAACATGCAAGTGTAGAGAAGAGTAAACCATAGATGACTTACTACAATGCAGTCTGAGCCCTGTCACATGCACAATGAACTTTTCAAACTAGAGGCATTCCAAGTGGCCAGCTTCTGGTCAAAGGACATTTAGCATAATAATTCACTTCTGACATAATAAACAAATCCCATCTAATTATCTTCAGTCATTACCTATCTATCCATCCATATCTATTTCCAATCTCTATCTCTGTATTCCTATCTATCATCTACTTATGTCTAATATTCCATCTCCATCCATAAATCCATATCCCTCTCTATTCCTACCTATCATATCTCCTTATCCTTTCTCTCTGCTTTCTTTCTATCTAACCCCAACCATCTATTCTATTCTATCTGATACCTTTTTTTACCTGAGCTTTCATGCATTAGCAGGCAACGGAGGTACTTGTTCATGCTTTTACAGAAGTCTCACAATCCACTTTCGCAAAGTATCTCCTTTCCAGCTTCCAAAAGATGTCATAATAACGCCTCTTTCTGGGCAGCAAAGATACCTCAGGGCTAGAAAGAAACTCCCACCTTTGCATGCAAAGGGCCCTTAAAGAGACAGTTCCTTTCTTTAAGCAAAGGACCCACTTATTTCCCTCCTGGCATGTTGTACACTCTGCACATGCTTGGATGCTACATCTGCCCTCAAAGCAAGAAAGTGAAGGCAACCATCTTCTACCAGCAAAACTAAATGCAGAAGAGCAAACCTGTGCATGTGCAGATTGCTTTTGTTGCTACTGAAGCTAGGAAAGGAGGAGGGCTCCCCAAATGCCCTCCTACTTAGCAATTCCCAAATCAGAATCATTTCTGAGCATATGCAGAGTGCCTTGAAGCGCCACAAGCCTCTCCCTGATGCTCTACTGTACCACTTTCATCTCCAAAACACCTCTGAGCATGTGCAGATTGCCTCTCACTGAAAACAAGGCCTATCTTCCATCACCTCCATCCTGGAAGCGCTTCTGAGCATGTGTAACATGCACTGGGTCATCAGGGCCATCTCTTTGACACTCCTCTGTCCTACTTACACCTCCAAATGTCATCTGAGCATGAGCAGAATGCTTTTTGCCGAAGAAAGGCTACATCTTTCATCTTCTCCTTCCCCAGTTCACCCCGGAAGCGCTTTTGAGTACATACAGGGTGTCTTTCACTGAAAACAAGACCCATCTTCCATGTTCTCCACCCTGGAGGCACTTCCAATCACAGACTGCCTTGCATCATCAGAGGCCTCTCCTGCATTCTCTACTGTCTCACTTCCATCTCCGAAGCGCCTCTGAGCATGAGCAGAGTGCCTTTCACTGAAAGTGAGGAATATCTTTAATCTCCTCCATCCTGGAAATGCTCCTGAACATGTGCAGAGTGCACTGGTTCATCAAAAGCATCTCCTTGACATTCGCATGTGGAGAGGCCCTGCTCGCGCTCCCACCTCCTTTGCAGGTGCGATTGGTGGGGACAAAAGAGAGGGCCTTCTCGGTGGTGGCCCCCCAACTCTGGAACTCACTTCCCAAGGACATCAGGCATGTCCCAACTCTGGCAGTCTTTAGGAGGAGCTTGAACGTGGTTGCTCCAGTGTGCCTTCCCAGAATAAGGAAAACTCTCAGCAATTTGCCCTCAAAATGCACTTTACTACCGGGTTAGGATTGACTGTGTTCCCTCATCTCTCTTTGAAAACCCTATACAAGTTATATCATACCCTGCTCATGCCCAGCAGTTGTTTGTTTTTTTAATTTGTAAACAATTACATTTGGCCCAGCCATAGGTTTTTAACCCTTGTGTGTTACTGTTTTTTGGTTATTGTTTATATGTGATTTATATTAGTTGTACTGTATTTACTGTTTTGTTTATTGATGTACTGTTGGGCTTGGCCTCATGTAAGCCGCTCCGAGTCCCTTGGGGAGATGGCGGCGGGGTATAAATAAAGTTTAATATTATTATTATTTCCACCTTCAAATGGCCTCTGAACATGTGCAAAGTCCCTTTCACTGAGAACAAGGCCCATCTCCCATCTTCTTCACCCTGGAAGCAATTCTGAACATGTGCAGAATGCCTTGGCTCACCAGAGGCCTCTCCTTTGCCCTCTCCTGTCCCACCTCCACTCCAAAGTCCCTCTGAGCATGTGCAAAGGCAAGGAAAGGTCAGTGGTTCGAATCCGGGGAACAGGGTGAGCTCCCGTCTGTCAGCTCCAGGTTCGCATGCAGGGACATAAGAGATGCCTCCCACAGGATGGTAAAACATCCAGGCATTATTATTATTATTATTAACTTTATTTGTACCCCGCTAGCATCTCCCGAAGGACTCGATGCGGCTTACAAAGGCCAAGGCCTCAAACACAACATAACAATACAACACCTAAAGCAAATTAAAAACAGTTAAGCAATATTAACAACAAGCAATAAACAATACATCAAGACACTATAAAACTGGGCCGGGCCAGAGTAATGGGTACAGATTAAAAGTGCTGATGTGACAGGTGATATGTAAGGATTATAGGGTAAGTGCAGTGTGCCAGCAATCTTAATTCTAATAAAGTGCTTCTGGGACTTGTTATTGGAGTTTTCCTATTCTGGAAAGGCACATCGGAACAGCCAGGTCTTCAAGTTCTTTCTAAAGACTGCCAATGTAGGGGCCTGTCTAAGATCTTTGGGGAGGGTGTTCCAGAGTTGGGGGCCACCACAGAAAAGGCCCTGTCTCGTGTCCACCAGACGCGCTTGCGATGCAGGCGGGATCACGAGCAGGGCCTCTCCAGATGACCGAAGTGAACGCGTGGGTTCATAGACGGAGATGCGGTCACGCAGGTAGGATGGTCACAAACCGTTCAGGGCTTTGTAGGTAAGCACCTGCACCTTAAATTGGGCTCGGAAAATAAACGGCAGCCAGTGGAGCTCCTTGAACAGGAGGGTTGACCTCTCTCTGTAAGGAGCACCAGTTAACATCCTGGCCGCTGCCCGTTGGACCAGTTGGAATTTCCGAGCCGTTTTCAAGGGCAGCCCCACATAGAGCGCATTACAGTAGTCCCTGGACAACGTCCTTGCCAATTCTCTCACACCAGAAGTGACTTGCAGTTTCTCAACACTGATAAAAATAACCTTCTGAGCATGTGCAGAGTGCCTTAGATTGTCAAGCGGCCTCTCCTTCACCCTCTACTATCCCACTTCCATCTTGTCTATCATGGAAGGGTTTCTGAGCATGACCAAGGCAAGGCCCATCTTCTCATCTACTCCACTATGGAAGAGCTTCTGAGCATGTGCAGAGTGCCTTGCACTAACAGCAAGGCCCATCTTCCAACTACTCTACCCTGGAAAAAGCTCTGAGCATGTGCGGAGTGCCTTGGGTTGTCAAGAGGCTTCTTCACCTTCCCCTGTCCCACTTCCACCTCCAAATCACCTCTGAGCATGTGCAAAGTGCCTTTCAATGAAAACAGGGCACATCTTCAATCTTTTCCACCCTGGAAGAGCTTCTGAGCAGGTGCAAAGTGCCTTGGATCGTCAGAGGCCTCTCCTTGACTCTCATCTGCCCCACTTCCACCTCCAACCTCTGAGCATGTTCAGAGTGACTTTGGTTGAAGGCAAAGCCACCCCCTCCCCCATGGAAGCGTATCTAAGCATGCGCGGAGGGCTAAAGCAGTCCCCCGAAGAGGCCCCGTTACCTCTGCTACGCCGCGGGAGAGGCGCCGTTGGCAGGGCGGCGGCCTGAGGAGCGCCCGCAGGGTGCCGGAAGTGGCAGTAAGGCCTCCCGCAGGCCGGCCCGAAGGGGCATTCGACGCCGCGGAAGAAGCCGCTGGAGCGGAGCATCCCTCAACCACCGCTTTCTCCGGCTCAGCGGGTCTCTTCCCTCTCTCTCAGGCCGCCGCCATGCTAGCTATGGGCAGAAGAAAGGCGTCACCAGGGAGAACCACGCATGCGCCACAGTGGGTGCCACCTCCAACGCCTTTGCTTGCCGCCATCGCCACTAAAGGCAGGGAGGAGGGAAAGTACACATTGCGCATGCGCAGTCTCACGCAAACCTAACCCTCCTCTCCAATGGGACGTGGTACAACAGCGAGGAGAGTAAAGAAAAACTGCGCATGCGCTGTAACACATATTAGCATCCCACCTATCCCATTTAGAAAGCCGGAGACAGATGTACGCATGCGCATTACAGAAAAGGATAGCGCCTGGCGGAAGTGCCGTTTGCCACCAAAGGCAAAACAAAAGCAAACCTACCGAAGTGAGGTCCTCGACGCCATTTTTTTTTGACAGGCCAAATAAGATGTCCAAGGAGAACGCCTGATCTAAATCACACTATTAAACATTAATTTTGTTCCTGAGGTATCAATCACATTTCCTAATTGGTTCGATCATGGAAATATGGCACAAGTTTATTAAACTGCAAAACTTTTATTTTTTGCCGGACATTCTGCTATAGCACATTTTAAAATATAATATAACACAATACAATATAATAAAAATAATGGTATATTATATATTACATGTATTTATTTATTTGCTTTATTTCTATACCGCATTTTTCAGCCCTTAACAGGCGACTCAATGCGGTTTACATGGTACAATTATCAAACAGTGTCAGTGCAATTAAAACATAACAACGCAACAAACAGGATCAACAGCATCAATCCACAACAGTTAACAATCAACAAGACAGATCAACAAAACAGACATAACATAACGCCTCAGTTGAAATCAGATCCGTTCTCATAATCCTTGTGCCATTCCTATGTTCCATTTACCGTCTTCCTATGATTGGTTGCACTGCTTAACCAAACGCTTGTTCATAAAGCCAGGTCTTAACCATTCTCCGAAACGTCAGCAGCGAAGGTGCCTGCCTGATGTCTGCCGGTAGGGCATTCCATAGCCGAGGGGCCACCACTGAGAAGGCCCTGTCTCTCGTCCCCGCCAAGCGCGCCTGTGACGCAGGCGGGATCGAGAGCAGGGCCTCCCCAGACGATCTTAATGTTCTGGTCGGTTCATAGGTGGAGATGCGTTCGGAGAGGTAAGCAGGGCCAGAACCGTTTAGGGCTTTATAGGCTAAAGCCAGCACCTTGAATTGTGCCCGGTAGCGGATTGGCAGCCAGTGGAGCTGGCTCAGCAGAGGAGTGGTATGCTCCCTGAGTGCCGCTCCCGTTAGCAACCTGGCCGCCGAGCGCTGGACTAATAATATTGCAGTATAGTACAATACAATATATAATGCTAACATTGTTCTATGCTAATAATATAATGTACTATACCTAGAATAATTATGTAATACAATATAATACTAATAATACAATATAATATATTGTAATATTATAATATTAATATATTAAATCTGATAGTACTGATAATATTTATTTATTTCTGTACGATATTTCTATCCTGCCTTTCTCGAACCCAAAGGTGACTCAAGGCGACTTACAACCAGGCAGCAGCAATTTGATGCCTAACGATATACAATAAACAGAATTAAAAATACATTCAATAAAACCTTTTAAAATATATAAAACCAATGCTTTCATTTTTATTCTCATTGTCCATAAATTGTCGTCTGAGCCAGTCCAATGTTCACTTTTGTCTAATACCATGTTTGACTGTTGCATTAGATTCTGAAGGCTTGTTCAAATAGCCATGTTTTCACTTTTTCCCCCCAGAAGGTCAAGGAGAGGATGTTCCACAACCAAGGGGCCACCACTGAGAAGGCCCTGTCTCCCATCCCCACAAGTCGTGCCTGCGAAGAAGGCAGGACCAAGAGCAGGACCTCCCTGGATGATCATAAATTCTTTTTGGTTCATAGGGAGATATACTTTTGGATAGGTAAGCTATACTATATAATTAATATATATTATTAGCTTTAGCACAGCGGGTTAACCAGCCAGCTGCAGAAAATTTTGCCAATCGAAAAGTCTACAGTTCAAGCCCGGGTTGGGGTGAGCTCTCATGCCAGCGATTTGATCGGGAGTGTCTAAGGACAACAAAGCTCCTCGTTATGGAAGATGGAGTGACAGCAACCCCACCCCCCACCCCCACACACACACACACACACCCCATGGCCGGAGTCGAGCACTGCCTGTAATTGTAATTGAGCAAGTGGGGAAATTTCAGGGGCTCATTTCTCCCTCAGTTTTAGAGCTATCATGATGAAACTTGCCATAATTCTACCACACATTTTCCACTGTTAACCCACCAAATTTCAGAACATTGCACTACATAAGCTATCTCCTTGAATTTTCCATACAATGCATGAGATCACCAGGGCATCCAGTCCCAGAAGTTTCAGAAAGATTCACACATCTACAGATTTGTGGGATTTTTTAAAAACATTTATCCCCTCAAAAAGCGACAACAGCAATTGCCTTGAGTGCCTATCTTTATGACACTCAACCACGGAACTTCAACTTAGTGCAGATTTCTATCACTTCCTTACTTTGCAAATTCAATAATTTTATTATTATAAAAAGGCAAAAGATTTATACGATCTGAAGAGACTGACTTTAAACGGTAGGCTGCTGCAACCCTCTTTGGGGCTTTCTGATGCTGAGCACTGCATTCTGGGAAATGTAGTTTTGCAGGGCCTTTTGCATTCTCTGCCACAGGGGGCCTTCCCTTCCCAAACTACATTTCCCAGAATGCTGTGTTATCAGTCTCCTGCCCATTAACTTTGCTAGTCCCGCCCCTAGTGCCTTTGCTTATGGCGATGATCGGGCCAAAGAAAAAGGACTGGTTTTTAAAACACTTTATGTTCTCTTGGCTTTCCAAATGTTGCTTAATGATTATACTGAAAATTAAACTGACATTGGGAGGCATCTGCATGTTACAGAATATTAACAAACCTTAACTAAAATGTTTGGTGAGTGTTTTGATTCTTAAAAACTACTCGCCACCTTTCCTGTATGTTTATAATATCAATTAGAAACATATTGTTTGTAAAATATTCAAAAATTCCCCTAAAATTAGTTGATGAGTGTAATGTTCTGAAATTTGGTGGGCTAACAGTGGAAAATGTGTGGTAGAATTATGGCAAGTTTCATCATAATAGCTCTAAAACAATCTAACAAATTTGATCCAAAAAATGAATTAAAAATGAAGTTTTGCACATCACTAACACATACATTGATTTTTATTCACAAGTGGACTGAGACATCATTTGTAGTCCTTCCTCTTCCTTCTTTCTTCCAGGCTGCAGCACCATCTGTTGGTAGATACATGTATGTCCCTCTTCTGTTTCAACCTAAGAGGCATTTTAGGGCAATGACACCCATCGTCCCCCACTGTCATGGCTGGGGAACAGGGGAGTTGCAAGCCAACATTACATCAAGGCAAAAATGGAGCCAAACCACACGTTATAATAATAATAATATATACAATATACTCATATATATTATACTTATAGAATATATATATTAATATATCTCATATAATAATATAGAGAAATAACATTGTGAGGTAATAATACTAATATATTATATATAATATTAGGAGCCCCTGGTGGTGCAGTGGGTTAAACCCCTGTGCCGGCAGGACTGAAGACCGACAGGTCGCAGGTTCGAATCCGGGGAGAGTGTGGATGAGCTCTATCAGCTCCAGGTCCCCATTGCGGGGACATGAGAGAAACCTCCCACAAGGATGGTAAAACTTCAAAACATCTGGGTGTCCCCTGGGCAACGTCCTTGCAGACAGCCAATTCTCTCACACTAGAAGCGACTTTGTTTCTCAAGTCGCACCTGACACAACATATATATATATATATATATATTATATTACAAGATATATATATATATATATCTTGTAATATAATATATATACTACAACTTATGATATAGTACTGTACATTATATAATACTAATAGTTTAATGTACTGGTAGTGTATTATGTATATTGTGATATAATAATATAGTACAATATATATAATAATTCCAGGTCCATCGTTGCTGACGTTCCGAGTGCTCTTTGATTGCAGATGAACTATAAATCCCAGTACCTACAACTCTTATATATATAGATGAATTCTTCCCAAACCTCTCCAGTATTTTTCTTAAGTCATGGGGGTTCTGTGTGGCAAATGTAGTCCAGGTCCATCGCCAGTGGGGTTCACAGTGCTCTGTCTTGCTGAAGGGTGAAGTACAACTTCCATCATGTTGAGTCAGTCCCCCAAAGCTCTCCAGTGTGAGCAATTGCTGATCAATTCCTCTGTGTTTACTGTGTGCCATAGGAAAGAGTAGGAAAGGGTTATGGGAGAAGCAGTGGGTGGGGTCATGCAAATTCCACACCAATGGAGAGTCAGAAACACTGGGATGTCTGTAGTGGAGGAAATACATAAAATGAAGTATGAAATTGTCCCCGTATGAAAGCCTTCACTTGGATGGTGGGCAGTATTGTTTGTGGAGGACATTGGCAGGGATCTTGGACATGTTCATGGCGCTAGCTATAACCTGCAATGTCATTGGAGGGAGGGCCTTTGGTGTCTCTCGGGTGTAGGAGCTATAACTTTGTGGAGGCAGGAGCTTGCCTGTGTAAGTGGACACCCCAGCCACATACACACAGACATATTTTCACTTTTATTATGTGTATAGATTTTATTATGTGTATAGATATATAATGATACACTGTTTTATTATTGTGTTTGTATATTTGAAGTTGTAATGTTTTTGATTTGTGAGCCACTTTGAGTCTCCATATGGAGAGATAAAACGGGATGTAAATAAATACATAAATCAGAATTGTTGCTGGATCGAGATTACAACCGAACACAAAAGCCATGACTTCCAGTCGCAGTAGGCCACTGAGTTGCATCAGAGGACCTTGGCCCCTTATAGAGGCATATTCAGGAAGGATTCCACCCACAATCCACAGTTGTCCAAAACCTGCTCTTTAATAAGGGTTTTCTTAAATTAAAACAACCAGCCTCAACACATTCACCAAACCCACGTCACAGAGACCAAGCGGATCTGACGAGGGGCACGGCGCCGACCCCTTTCTAGCGGTGTCTTTTACAATTCTTTTCCACGCTGCGGATGAGCCTCTGCTTGAAAAACTGCTGGCCATATTCCAGTCCAGTCAAGTGCCTCAGGGACAGTGGGGCCTGCTCCGGCTGGACGTCCACATACACTGGGATGACTTTGGCCCCCTCTCGGTGGACAGTGTGGAGTAAGGTCAACTCGGCCACCCGCTGGCACCAGGTGTCGCCCAAGGAGTGGGGGCTCAGGAGGAGGAGGGCCACCCGGCTGGAGCGGATGCCCTCATCAGTCAAAGCGAGGACCGGCCTCCCAGCCACGGCATCTTGGTGCTCCACGTAGCCACAGAAGCCGTGCTCCCGGAGGATCCCGGCCACGTCGGTGGCTACATTCTCATCCTCTGGGGAGTACCAGAGGGAGAAATCATAATGGGGCGGGGGGAGAGAGGTCATGGCAAAGCCCCCTGTCGACGGGACACCTCCACCCACCCCCCAAAAAAACAGTAGCTAAACCCTTCGCTCTTTTCCACCTCTTCGCCCTCCAAGTCCAGTTCTCCTGAACGAAACACATAAGACAACTGAACGAAAAACAGCCTCCCCCCAATTCTACCCCGACTTATACAAAGCACATGACGGGGGGCAGACGGAAGAGATCGGAAAGCAGACGGCGGGAGCGGAGGGGCCTTGCGGTCAGCACACATTCATGGAACCTAAAACACAAGATGGCAGTGGCAACGGCGTTGAGGAGGAAGAAGCAGCGGCGGATGCATGCTGGAATCGATCTCATCGCAGGCCGGCGAGTCTTTTTGCGGGAAGGAAGAGGATGCTTCTGGGCTCATAAATGGGTTTTTGGTTTTTGCGGCAGCAGAGGGGTTGTTTTATTCCACCCTCGTTGGCTTTTCCCCCCAGCCCCCTCCCCAGCCCCCCGCGAAAGAAAGAAAGAGTTGTGTGCCTCACAAGGCCCTCTGTTTCATCTCCAGGATGCCTTGCTCCAAGGTGGCCCCAGCCAGTTTCAGCTCCTCGCACTTCTCCTTCAGGAGGCTGCAGGCCTTCTGCAGGCGGTGGTTCATCTCAACGTAGGACTGGGTCAGGCGGTAGAGGCGCTCCCGCTTGGCTTCAGGGTCCTCGTTTTTGGCCGGAGTGGGCAGGTCTAGGGGGCAAAGAGAGAGAGAGAAAGAGAGAAGGAAGCCATCACTTACTGTTGGAAATAGCCACCTTCTACAAGCTTCCTATACTAAGTTATTTGTTATGTATGTAAGTCAGATTGCTTACTGTATTATATATGTGTGTATTGGGATGCAGTTTTCCTTCGCTGCTGACATTTCGGAGAATGGTTAAGACCTGGCTTTATGAACAAGCGTTTGGTTAAGCAGTACAACCAATCATAGGAAGACGGTAAATGGAACATAGGAATGGCACAAGGATTATGAGAACGGATCTGATTTCAACTGAGGCGTTATGTTATGTCTGTTTTGTTGTTCTGTCTTGTTGATTGTTAACTGTTGTGGATTGATGCGGTTGATCCTGTTTATAATAATAATAATAATTTTAAAAAACTTTATTTGTACTCTGCTACCATCTTCCCAAGGGACTCGGTGCGGCTTACATGTGGCCGATCCCACAATACATCAATAAACAATAGCAACAGTAGCAATACATATTAACAATAACACGACGACGTTTACAAACCTATGGCTGGGCCATATGTAATAATTAAAAATTTAAAAAATAATGCTGGGCGTGACAAGGTGACATATAACTAGGATAGAAGTTTTGGAGAGGGATGAAATGTACAGACAATCCTAGATCACTAATAAAGTGCTTTTAGGGACATATTGCTGGGAGTTTCCTTATTCTGGAAAGGTACACTGAAACAACCACGAACAAAAAGAATGCTTTAGAGAAGAAACTCCATTAGACCATCAGAACAGAAAGATGCTTTAGACCAGGGGTCCTCAAACTAAGGCCCGGGGGCCAGATACGGCCCTCCAAGGTCATTTACCCGGCCCTCGCTCAGGCTCAACCTAAGTCTGAAATGACTTGAAAGCACACAACAGCAACAACAATCTGATCTCTTCAGCCAAAAGTAGGCCCACACTTCTCATGGAAATACTAATAAGTTTATGTTTGTTAAAATTGTTCTTCATTTTAATTATTGTATTGTTTTAAGTGTTTTTGCACTACAAATAAGATATGTGCAGTGTGCATAGGAATTCATTCATGTTTTTTTCAATTATAATCTGGCCCTCCAACAGTTTGAGGAACTGTGACCTGGCCCTCTGTTTAAAATGTTTGTGGACCCCTGCTCTAGACCATGGCCATATAGCCCGAAAAAATTACATGTGTTATCAGCACAGAGAAACCACTTCAAATCCTACCTGTAATTGGACTGATAAGCAAAGTACCTCTATGATGAATACAGGAAGTTTGTAAGTAAACCAGATATGCTACTTTTACAGAAATCTACTTATTGGGAGGGAGGGAGGAATGAAAGAGAAGAAGAAGGAAGGAGGAAGAGAGAAGGGAGGGAAGAAGGGAAGATGGAAAGAAGGGGAGAGAAGGAAGGGGAGGAAAGGGAAGGAGGAAGAGAAAAAGAATGGAGAAGGAAGAAGAGAGGAGGAGGAAGAGAGAAAGAAGGAAAGGAAGGGAAGAGAAGGAGAGAGGGAAAGAAGGAGAAAAGAGGAGAAAGAAAGGAAGAAAAAGAAGGGAGGAGGAGGAAGAAGGGAGGGAAGAAAAGGAGAAGAGAAGGAAGGAGGGAGGGGGAAGAGAAGAAGGAAGAGAAGGAAGGGAGAAAAGGAGGGAGAGAGAGAATGGAAGGAGGTAAAAGAAAGAAGGAAGGAAGAGGGAGGGAGGGAGGGAAGACAAGGAAGTAAGAGAAGGAAGGAAGAGAAGGAAGGAAGGAAGAGAATGAAAGAAGAAGGGTAAGAGGGAGAGGGAGGGAAGAAGAGGGAATAAAAACTAGGTAGGTAGGGAAGAGAAGGAAGGAGGGAAGAGAAGGGAAGAAAAGGAGGAAAGGAAGGAAGAAGGGAGGGAAAAGAAGGAAGAAAGGGAAGGGAAGGAGAGGGAAGGGAGGGAAGAGAAGGAAAGGCAGGCAGGCCCTGTACCTTCGCTGGGTTCAGCCAGCAAGACAAAGACGGGGTCGTTGGGCTGTGCGCGCTGGACGTCCTCGAGGACCTGCTCGGCACTGGGGGGCTCTGGCCGCGTGGGCAGCACCACCCTCTTCTTGGCCTTGGAGGTCATGGCTTGGAAACAGGTGCCGATGGGCACTGCAAGGAGAGGCAGAGAGGCACGAGGGTCAGAGGCAGTGCAGACAAAAGGGGGGGCATCTCCTACACAGTGATTGGAGACGAGGTTGGAACGTGGGGCCCTCCAGGTGACATTATGGCCTTCTACTTTCTAATATGGCAGAGAGTTGGGCTAGATGGCCTTTGGGGGCCCCTTCCAATGCCCGCTTCCCTTTGCAAGGAGACAATGGCCGCACAATTCCTTGTCAGGGACACAAATCAACTCGGATTACATCTCACAAGCCTAAAACAGTTGAAGACAAACCCACAAAGCAATATAGAAACGGATTGGGGTGGGGGCAGTTCTTTCAACTGTCATAATATAGGAATTACATACATCTATATAAGAAAACCAATGCCCATTTACATGCAAGGAATCAAGTCCCATCATTGAATCTTTCCTCCTCAAAGATGGATTCAGGCTCCCCCAAACGACCCAGGCTTTTTCTTCCCATCCCAAAAGGGATATCCCCCCCCCCCTTTCAAAAAATACCTCTCCGGACATCCATGGCTGCAGCTTCGGTGTGTTCGCTCCTACCAAGGATGAGAATGGAGTCCTCGCACACGCGTGTGCTTGTGCGAGAAAGAGAAAGAGAGAAAGAGAGGCTGGATCTCCTGTGAGTGTGTGTGTGTGTCTCACATCTACCCCTGGTGCTGTCACAAATCCTCAGGACCGGAAAATGGCCATCGTTGTTCTCCTCTGCATCCCAGGGATGGAGAGGAGGAGGGATTGCGGAGGAAGGCAGCGCCAGGGAGGGACTCAGGCCTTTGGATCCTGACCAAGTGGAAGTGGAGGGGGGAGGCACCATACATGTATGTGTGTGTGCTGTGCCCCCTCTTCCCTCCCCCTTCCACTATACACGCACACACACATATACACATACACACATATAAAGTGGCCTCCATTCCCTCCCGTTTCCACTTGAGATAGATATCTGTATATATGTGTGTGTCATATATATATGTGTGTGTGTGAGTGGATGGTGTGTCCCCATTCCCTCCCCCTTCCATTTGATGTGTGTGTATATATTTATTTAAACGGCGTGCCTCTATTCCCCCCTCTATTTGATGTGTGTGTATTTAAATGGTGTCCCCCCATTCCCTTCTTCCACTTTTTATATATGTATGTGTGTGCGTGCATGCATTTAAAAATATAAATATGGTGTAACACCATTCCCCCCACTTCTGCTTGAGATATACATGTGTGTATATACACATACATACATATACATAAAATGACATGTGTGTATGTATGTGTGTGTGTATATATATATGTATGTAAATAGTGTGCCCCCATTCCCTTTCAATTAATATTTATGTATATGCATATGTGTGTATGATACACACACACACGCACATATATATATGGTGTGCCGCCCATTTCATCCCTCCTTCCACTTTTTTTGATGTGTGTGTATTTAAATAGTGTGTCCCCATTCCCCTCTTCCACTTTTTATATATGTATGTGTGCGCGCGCATTTAAAAATATAAATACGGTGTAACACCATTCCCTCCCACTTCTGCTTGAGATATACATGTGTGTACATATACACATACATACATATACATAAAATGACATGTGTGTATGCGTGTGTGTGTATATATATGTGTGTGTGTGTGTGTGTAAATAGTGTGCCCCCATTCCCTTTCAATTAATATTTATGTATATGCATATGTGTGTATGATACACACACACACACACATATATATATATGGTGTGCTGCCCATTCCCCCCCCCCCTTCCACTTTATATGTGTGTGTATTTCAAAATATAAATATGGTGGGGCACCATTACCTCCCACTTCTATTTGAGATATACATGTGTGTTTGTGTGTGTATATATACATATACATATATATGGTGTGCCAACCATCCCCTCCCCCTTCCACTTTATACATGTGTATTTATTTATTTTTTATTTATTTAAAATATTTATATTCCGCCCTTCTCACCCCGAAGGGGACTCAGGGCATATACATGGCAAACATTCAATGCCGGGACACAAACCCTAACCCTAACCCTATTTCAAAACATAAATATGGTGTGACACCATTGCCCCCTACTTCTACTTGAGATATACATGTGTGTATATACATATATACATAAAATAATTGCAGTGTGCCCCCATTCCCTTCCCAATAATATATATGTGTGTGTGTGTGTGTGTGTATGTATGTGTGTGTGTGTGTATATATATATATATATATATATATATAGCGTGCCATCCATTCCCTCCCTTTTCCACTTGATATATATGTATATATGTACATGTAGGTATATGTGTATATATATGTGTGAGTGTGTGTGTATAGTGTATGTGTGAGTGCCCCCATTCCCTCTTCCACTTGAGATATGTGTGTCTGTGCGTATATAGATATATAGAGAAATATTTATTTAAATGGTGTGCCCCCCGCTTCCACTTGGTGAGGAAAAGGACAACCCTTCCGCTTTGAGAGATTTCCAGAATCTTCATCGCGAGCTCTGCAGCTCCCCCCCCCCCCCCCCATGGCTTTCCTCTGGATGCAGAGCGCATGCAGAGGCGCCCTTTCTGCGGATACCGCACCCAGCCAAAGCAAAAAAGGGGGTTTCCTTTCAATCCATGGGGCAAGCCTCCCCTTTTCCCTCAAGGATTGATCATCAAAGCCCCACCCCCATTTTTATTTCTCTGATGGAGCTCCATCCAACTGCAAGACCCCTCCTCTTTTCTTCCTCAATAAAGAAGAGCCTTTAAGAGGGAGAGCAAGAGAAAATAATAATAATAATAATAATAATAATATGAAAAATATGCCATGCTGAAATAATCATATTGAAAAATAATATCAAATAAATAATAATATGAAAATATAATGCGCAATAGAAAATAAAATAATAATATAAAAATATATAATAGAAAATAAAAATATTAAATAAAATAATAATATGTAAATATAATAGATAAGACAAACTAAAACAATAATTTAGAAAAATAAGATTAAATAAATAATATTAAATAAAATAATACTAATATGAAAATATTATATATAATGCAAACTAAAATAAAAATATAGGGAAATAATATCAAATAAAAATATTAAATAAAATAATACTAATATGAAAATATTATATATAATGCAAACTAAAATAAAAATATAGGAAAATAATATCAAATAAATAATATTAAATAAAATAATAATACCATGTAAATATAATAGATAATACAAACTAAAATAATAATATAGGAAAATAGTATAAACTAAATGGGAACTATAGTTCACCCACACCCACTGAACCAGTTGATCTAGACTAAATTTGGAGCACAGACAAGCAGTGCTTTTCTCAAATAACCTGGGCACCGCCAGGTCCGCAAGCTAGTATTAAATAAAATAATAATAATATGTAAAAATAATAGATAATACAAACAATATTAATATAAAATAAATAATATAAAATAATATGTTAATATAATAGATGATAAAAACTACAATAATAATATAGGAAAAATAATAGATAATATAAATCAAAATAATATAGGAAATATAAAATAAATAAAACAAAATAAAATAATAATATGTAAATATAATAGATAATACAAACTAAAATAATAATATAGGAAAAATAATAGATAATATAAACCAAAATAATATAGGAAAATATAAAATAAATAATATTAAATAAAATAACAATGATATCTAAATATAATAGATAATACAAATGAAAATAATAATATAGGAATATAATATAAAATAAATAATATAAAATAAAATAATAATATGTAAATAGAATAGATAATACAGACTAAAATAATAATATGGGAAAATAATACATAATTATTTTCCCACAATTATGATAATATCAAAAATATAAATAATATGAAATATAATAATATGCTGAAATAATAATATAGAAAAATAATATCAAAGACATAAATATAATATTAGAAAAATAATATTAAATAAATAATATTAATCTTCCTCCCCATCAAATACAACGACTTCTTTCCTGGCTCTCCATCTTAAAGGGGAGGGGAGCTCTTCTCTTTGAAAAAAAGGAGGATCCAATTCAATGGGGCCTCCCATTTAACAGGGGGGTCTCTCCCCCATTGTTGCCCCTCCCTCTTCGTTTGCCCCTCACCTGCTCTTCCTCCTCCTCCTCACAGCCTTTTCCCCTCCAGGTCACGCCCACCGTCTTGGCCACGCCCACCGCCTCTGCTGTTAGACTGAGGTGGCTCTCTTCTAGCGCATGCGCTCTTAAGGCAGGGAGCTAGGAAATGCAGATTGGCCATACGGAATGCGCCAGTCTATGAGATGCGCATGCGTACTGGAATGGACGGCGAAAGAAGTAAACAGTACACAGGGAGAAGGAAAACGGCGCATGCGTAGAAGGTGATTTGTGAGCAGAGTAGCCTATGAGACGCGCATGCGTGTTGGACTGGGCGGAGAAAGTAGATAGCAGAGGGAGGAGGAACCCGGCGCATGCGCAGAAGTAAGGTGACTTTCAGAGCAGAGGCTGGTAGGATGCTCACCAAATACCTCGGTCCCCGCTACGGCCAGCTCTTACGTACTTGGTGAGTAGGAGGCGTGGCTTAAAGTTCGCTCCTCCCACTGTCTAATGGGGGGTACCCTAAATTGGGGAGGTGGGATACTTTTGGGGGGACTGTGCTTACCAGAATTCTCTCAGCCAGCCATGCCACAACGGTGTCTCCCTCCCAAAAAAGGAACTTTCGCCCCGCAAAGTAGGGAATGCTGGGAGTCGTAGTCTTCGCAACCGGATGCTGTGCATGCAGAGCGGAGGATTCTGGGAGTCGTAGTCTTAGTCAGAGCAGTCAGAGCAACATGAAAGTCATTTTGGGGCCCAGTCCCATTATCATCATAATATAGAAGGATAATGTTGGATAAAATAATAATAATAATAATAATAATAATATAAAAATGTAATACTAAGCTAAAATAATCATAAATAATAGAGAAAAAATAATAGTAAATAAAAATAAATAATGTTAAATAATAATATAGAAAAATATTAAATAAAATAATAGTATTAAATAAAATAATCTATATAAATAAAAATGAAACGTTCGTTTGTGGGATTAACAGAACTCAAGAACCACTAGATGAATTGATACCAAATTTGGACACAAGACACCTAACAACCCAATGTATGTCCTTCGCTCAAAAAAATTGATTTTGTCATTTGAGAGTTGTAGTTGCTAGGATTTATAGTTCACCTACAATCAAAGAGCATTCTGAACCCCACCTATTTATTTTATTTCTCGTGTCAGGGCAGCCAGTCAATCATATTACATTTCTAACAGAACAAAGCAAACAGAGAAAATACAAAATGTGTGAGTTTGGTCGTTGATTAAATGTCTTTGACCAGTATCTGGCCACTTGGAGTGCCTCTGGTGTTGCTGCAAGAAGGTCCTCCATTGTGCATGTGGCAGGGCTCAGGTGGCATTGCAGCAGGTGGTCTGTGGTTTGCTCGTGGATTCCACCCTGTAGCCCCATTTCTTGAGATTGGCTCTGCATCTCGTGGTGCCAGAGCGCAATCTGTTCAGCGCCTTCCAAGTGCCCCGTCTTCTGTGTGCCCAGGGGGAGTCTCTCATATTGTATCAGCCATTGGTTGAGGTTCTGGGTTTGAGCCTGCCACTTTTGGACTCTCGCTTGCTGAGGTGTTCCAGCGAGTGTCTCTGTAAATCTTAGGAAACTATCTCTGGATGTAAGTCGTTGACGTGCTGGCTGATACCCAAACAAGGGATGAGCTGGAGATGTCTCTGCCTTGGTCCTTTCACTATTGGCTGCCACTTCCCGGTGGATGTCAGGTGGTGCGATACTGGCTAGACAGTGTAATTTCTCCAGTGGTGTAGGGCTCAGACACCCCGTGATAATGCGGCATGTCTCATTAAGAGCCACATCCACTGTTTTAGTGTGGTGAGATGTGTTCCACACTGGGCATGCATACTCAGCAGCAGAGTAGCATAGCCCAAGGGCAGATGCCCCACCAATGATGGAATTGAACCAAACTTGGCACACAGTTCTCCCATGACCAACAGAAAATACGAAGGGTTTGGTGGGCAGTGTCCTTTGGTTTTGGAGTTGTAGTTCACCTACATCCAGAGCACTGTGGACTCAAACAATGATGGATCTGGACCAAACTCTACACAAATACTCAATGCCCAAATGTGAACACTGATGGAGTTTGGGGGGAAAAGATTCTTGACATTTGGGAGTTGTAGTTGCTGGGGTTTGTAGTTCACCTACAATCAAAGAGCATTCTGAACTCCACCAACGATAAAATTGGGCCAAACCTCCCACACAGAATCCCCATGACCAGTAGAGTGGGTCACAGCAATGCGTGGCAGGGGACGGCTAGTAATATGATAAAATACACTACTAGGCTGAAATAATGATAAAGAAAAATAATATAAATGATAATATTAAGTATAATAATATGAAAAATATAATACTAGGCTAAGCTACTAATATCAAAAATTAATATAAAATAAATAAAACATAAAAATATAGAAAAACTAATAGTAAATAAAAATGTTAAATAATATAGAAAAATCCTATAATAATAAATATGAAAAATATACTTCTAGGCTAAAATAATAATAAATAAAAATAATATAAATGATAATATTAAATATAATAATATTGCTGTAATACTCAGCAAAACTAATATCTAAATATAATGTAATACAAATAATACATAGAAAAAGAATATTAAATAAACAATGCTAAATAATAATATGATAAAATATAATGCTATGCTGGAGGAATAGTATTGAAAAATACTACCAAATAAATAAATAATAATATAGAAAGCTAATAATATATAATATTAAATAACATAATAATAATTTAAAAAAATATAATGCTATGCTGAAATAATAATATAAAAATAATGTTAAATAACATAAAATAAAATAATAATAATATGAAAATATAATACTGTACTAAAGCATACACCAGGAGCCCCACGTGGCACAGCAGGTTAAGCCACTGAGCTGATGAACTTGCTGACCAAAAGGTTGGCAGTTCGAATCTGGGAAGTGGGGTGAGCTCCCACTGTTAGCACCACTTCTGCCACCCTAGCAGTTTGAAAATATGCAAATGTGAGTAGAGCCAAAGGTACTTCTCCAGCAGTCATGCCAGCCACATGACCCTGGAGGCATCTACAGACAAAGCAGGCTCTTTGGCTTAGAAATGGAGATGAATACCCCCCCCCCCCCCCAGAGTTGGACATGACTAGACTTAGTGTCACAGGGAAACCTTTACCTTTTTAAAACATAGAATATGAATATAATACTATAATAGCAAAATAATATACATATATAGCAATGTGATAATTTGTAATATTTTGTAAAAATAATATATCAACAATAAATATAATAGTATGGTACTGTTCCATTATCTGTATGGAATAATACTATTATTAATAGTATTGCATTATTATTATTTTATACTACTACTAATAATAATAATAATAATAATAATACAATAATTATTCTTAGTGTTTGTCTCACAAATTCATAGTATTGTAATAATACAATACTACTGACAGTATAAAATAATAATACAATGCATATTAAAAATACAATACAATAATTTAATAATATAATACAAAATAATAATATAAAACAATGTATTAATAATATATAATAATAAAATAATATATTATTATAACAATAACAAAAATGATATAATCCAATCATATAATAATTTGTAACTCTTCAATATACCATAATATGTTGTAATAATATAATGAGTTATAACACTGCAGTATAATAATACGTAATAATAATAATATTTTTATAATTATAAATAATAGCATTGTGTTGCTGTTTTTTTCTTTAGGATCCCCACCGCGGTCACATGGGGGTCAGTAGGGACCGTGGGGCTGGTTTGGGCCACCGATTGGCGGCTGATCCTTGACTACGTCCCATGGATCAATGGCAAGTTTAAGAAAGATGACTAAATCAAAGGGTAAGTTATGCCATGGATTGATTACAATGCATTTTATATATATTTATATATACACACACACACACACAAGCTTATATATAATATTATATACTATGTAATAACACTATGTAACACAATTGTTCCTGGATCATAAATATCCTTTATGTAATAATTCATTTTGAATTCTATTTTGTGTGATATAGGATGACTTGGGTCTCATTAATGGGCAACAAGTGGGATATAAATGAACAACAATAGTACTAATAATAATAATAATAATAATAATAATATCCCTACCTATCTCCCCGAGGGGACTCAGGGCAGTTTGCAACAGATATTGGCAAACATTCAAGGCTGTGAGAAGCTGAACAAAGACAAAAATAAGCAACTCCCCAAATCCGAAAAACAAATATATCAAAAATAATAGCACATTAAACTGCAATATTACTAATAATATTATGTGTAATATATAATATACAATTATATTATTATTATTATTATTATTATATTATTTAAAGGTAAAGATTTTCCCCTGACATTAAGTCCAGTTGTGTCTGACTCTGGGGGTTGGTGCTCATCTCCATTTCTAAGTTGAAGATCACCACTATCTTTCCGCCAGAGCAGTACCTATTGATCTACTCACATTTGCATGTTTTCGAACTGCTGGTTGGCAGAAGCTGAGGCTAACAACGAGAGTGCATGCCGCTCCCTGAATTTGAACCTGCAACCTTTCAGTTAGCAAGTTCAGCAGCTCAGCGGTTTAATCCACTGCGCCATGGGGGGCTCCTATACATATTATTAAATTGTACTATATTATTATATGGCAGTATATATAACACACTACCAATGTATTATACTTTTAGTATATAATATGTTGTGTCATATCATAAGTTGTAGTGTATACAATACACAATATATTATATTACAATATTATTAATATTACATACAATATAGCATCATTATTACATTACAATGTTATTATTTCTATATATTATCTATCTATCTGCCTATCTATATATTTGTTTATACTAGCTTGGGTACCTGGCATTGCCAGGGTTATTTGAACAAGTCAATTTTTATGTACAAAAATGTCAATTTTTATTTACAAAATACATAAGGTTGTGGGTGAACTACAACTCACATCATGCTAGGTTAACCCCGAAAAACTCCATCACTCCTTAAGACATCATCAATGGGGTTCAGTGTGCTCTCTGGCTGTAGGGTAAACTACAACTCCCACTAAAGTGAGTCAGTCCCCTCAAACCCCTCCAGTAGGTTGAGTTCGTCATGGGGATTCTGTGTGCCAAGTTTGGTCCCAGTCCATCATCGGTGGAGGTCACAGTTTATCTGGTTGTGGGTGAACTACAACTCTCAGAAAGAAAGGTCAGTTCACTCAAACCCACCCAGAAATCAATTTTTGGAATATCAGATATGTGTTCCAAGTTTGCTTCAGGTCCATAAATGTTTGGGTTCACAGTGCTCTCTGGATGTAGGTGAACTACAGCTCCCCCAAATCAAGGTGAATTTTGGCCATAGACCTCTAAGCCTTCACTTGGGTGGTGGGCAGTGTGGTGTTTGTGGAGGACATTGGCAGAGCTCTTGGACATGTTCATGGCAGCACTATAACCTGCACTGTCATTGGAGGGAGGGCCCTTGGTGTCTAGCATTGGAAGCCATAGCTGGTTTTTTTATTGTTTATTTTTTAAAGTTTTAACTATTACATTTGGTCCAGCCATAGGTTTTTAAATTCTTGTGTGTTATTGTCTACTTATGAGTTATATTAATTGTATTGTTCATTTTGTTTATTGCTTATTATTTTATTATTGCTTGTTGTTTTTGATGTATTGTTGGGCTTGGCCTCATGTAAGCCACTCTGAGTCCCTTGGGGAGATGGTGGCGGGGTATGAATAAATTATTATTATTATTATTATTATTATTATTATTATTATTATTATTATTATTTGTGGAGGCAGGAGCTTGTCTGTGTAAGTGGACACTCCAGCCACATACACACATACATATTTTCCATTTTATTATGTGTATAGAATCGAATAATAATGACACAGCAGGTTAAACCGCTAAGCTGCAGAACTTGCTGACTGAAAGGTCGGCGGTTCAAATCTGCAGGATGGGGTGAGTTCCCACTGTTAATTCCAGCTTCTGCCAACTTAGCAGTTCAAAAACATGGGAAGCTAAAAGTGTTCCATGCAGTCATGCCAGCCACATGACCTTGGAGGCGTCTATGGACAACGCCAGCTCTTTGGCTTAGAAATTGAAATGAGCACCACCCCAGAGTCGGTCTCCACTAGACTTAATGTCAAGGGGAAACCTTTACTCTTTACTAGAATAATAATAATAATAAGGTAATATACAAATATAGGAAAGAAAGGAGTATTGTTGAAACTGTTCTCAAAAGCAAAGACTCCAAAATCAGAAGTTAATTATTTATTTATCATTTTTTTTCCCCTCTTTATTTTTCTTCCTTTTAGGTTCCTATGGTGCGATGTTCTCCAATACCATAAGCAAGAAGGCTGCCATCCTTTCAAAAGGCATTCTGTGCTACTGTGAAACCAATAAAAGACTCTTTTTCATGCTGTATTTAGACTTATTTCATTTGTTGTTGTTGTTATTATTATTATTACTATTATGGAAGTGAAAATTAAGAATCCTCCAAGAAGTGAATCCTAAGAGCTGCGGAGTAGGCTCAAACCTTATTGTTATTATTAATATTATTATATATGACTTTCACTTAGAAATGGAGATCAGCACTAACCCCCAGAGTTGGACACGACTGGCCTTAATGTCAGGGGAAACCTTTACCTTTACCTGTTATGACAGTACTTAAACCCTGTCCGACTCTGGTGGTTGGTGCTTATCTCCATTTCTAAGTCAAAGAGCTGGCGTTGTCCATAGGCACCAACTGCCGCTCTGGGCCAGTGCGAAGAGAGGGGAGGCCAGGGGACAGCACCATCTTGTCTCCTGCATTTGCCATCCGTTGGGGACCCCTCCCCACAGCACCAACTGCCGCTCTGGGCCAGAGCGAAGAGAGGGGAGGCCAGGGGACAGTTCCACCTTGTCTCCTGTGCTATTCTAATAATATGTTATAATATAATATATTGTATATACATATAATATTTATAATATTGTAATGTAATGCAATATAATACTAGTAATTATTTTTAAATGCATAATGATTTTGTATTCTGTATATCTAAACTGTTGTAAACCGCTCTGAGTCGCCTAAGGCCTAGAAGAGCGGTATACAAATAAAGTAAATAAATAAATAAATAAATAAAAAGGTCATGTGGTCAGCATGACTGCAAGGAGCACCGTTACCTTCCTGCTGGAGCAGTACCTATTGATCTACTCACATTTGCATGCTTTCAAACTGCTAGGTTGGCAGAAGCTGGGGCTAACAGTGGGAGCTCATACCTCTCCAAATTCAAACCTGCAGTCTTTTCAGTCAGCAAGTTCAGCAGCTCAATGCTTTAACCCACTATGCCACCGGGGGCTCCATTATATATCTTATAATATATATACATGTATATATTATTAGACAGGATTTAAACCCTATTATTATATAATAATAGGGTTTAATAATAGGGAATTCATTGCTATGGAAGAAGAACATTCAGAAGAGGTCTCAGAGCTGCAAGCCGCAGCAGCTAAGCCTGGGGCCTGATTGAAGGAGACACTATTGAAATCCAGTAATAATAATAATAATTTTCATTAGGATGATGATCATTACTACTGCTTTTTTGTATAAATTTTTATTGTGATACTAGCTGTCCCGGGCCACACGTTGCTGTGGCCCAGTGTGGTGATCTGGAAAATACAGTAATGAGAAAGTGTTGGTTCCTAATATATGTAATTTCTTTATGCTTAGGAGTAAACAGTATTTCTTGTTGTTTCTTTGTCAGTACTGATGTAGAGATTGTCTGGTTTGCCTACTCAGGAATATGCAACACATCATAGTCCTTCTTTAGGGGTCCCTTATAAATCTATGATACTATATCTCTCTCTGTGCGTGAATCATATCTATCTATCTATCTATCTATCTATCATCTATCTATCTATCTATATCTATGGCTGGATGACTCTTTGTCAGGAGGGCTCTGATTCCATTTTCTTGCCCTGGTGAAGAGAGTTGGACTGGATGGCCTTAAGTATTGTGTTGGTCATGGGGGTTCTGTGTGCCACGTTTGCCCCAATTCAGTCGTTTGTGGGATTCAGAGTGCTCTTTGTAGGTGAACTATAAATCCCAAATGTCAAGGTCTATTTCCCCCAAACTCTATTTGTGCCAAGTTTGGTCCAGATCCATCATTGTTTGAGTCCACAGTGCTCTCTGGATGTAGGTGAACTACAACTCCCAAACTCAAGGTCAATGCCCACCAAACCCTTCTAGTGTTTTCTGTTGTTCATGGGAGTCCTGTGTGCCATGTTTGGTTCAATGCCTTAATTGGTGGAGTTCAGAATGCTCTTTGATTGTAGGTGAACTATAAATCCCAGTAACTATAAATCCCAAATGTCAAGGTCTATTTCCCCCAAACTCCATTTGTGCCAAGTTTGGTCCAGATCCAAAATTGTTTGAGTCCACAGTGCTCTCTGGATGTTGAACTACAACTCCCAAACTCAAGGTCAATGCCCACCAAACCCTTCTAGTGTTTTGGTCATGGGGGTTCTGTGTGGGAAGTTTGCCCCAATTCTGTCATTGGCGGGGTTCAGAATGCTCTTTGATTGTAGGTGAACTATAAACTCCCAAATGTCAAGGTCTATTTCCCCCAAACTCTATTTGTGCCAAGTTTGGTCCAGATCCATCATTGTTTGAGTCCACAGTGCTCTCTGGATGTTGAACTACAACTCCCAAACTCAAGGTCAATGCCCACCAAACCCTTCTAGTGTTTTCTGTTGGTCATGGGAGAACTGTGTGCCAAGTTTGGTTCAATTCCATCGTTGGTGGGATTCGGAATGCTCTTTGATTGTAGGTGAACTATAAATCCCAGTAACTACAAATCCCAAATGTCAAGGTCTATTTCCCCAAACTCCATTTGTGCCAAGTTTGGTCCAGATCCATCATTGTTTGAGTCCACAGTGCTCTCTGGATGTTGAACTACAACTCCCAAACTCAAGGTCAATGCCCACCAAACCCTTCTAGTGTTTTCTGTTGTTCATGGGAGTCCTGTGTGCCATGTTTGGTTCAATGCCATAATCGGTGGAGTTCAGAATGCTCTTTGATTGTAGGTGAACTATAAATCCCAGTAACTATAAATCCCAAATGTCAAGGTCTATTTCCCCCAAACTCCATTTGTGCCAAGTTTGGTCCAGATCCAAAATTGTTTGAGTCCACAGTGCTCTCTGGATGTTGAACTACAACTCCCAAACTCAAGGTCAATGCCCACCAAACCCTTCTAGTGTTTTCTGTTGTTCATGGGAGTCCTGTGTGCCACGTTTGGTTCAATGCCTTAATTGGTGGAGTTCAGAATACTCTTTGATTGTAGGTGAACTATAAATCCCAGTAACTATAAATCCCAAATGTCAAGGTCTATTTCCCCCAAACTCCATTTGTGCCAAGTTTGGTCCAGATCCAAAATTGTTTGAGTCCACAGTGCTCTCTGGATGTTGAACTACAACTCCCAAACTCAAGGTCAATGCCCACCAAACCCTTCTAGTGTTTTCTGTTGTTCATGGGAGTCCTGTGTGCCATGTTTGGTTCAATGCCTTAATTGGTGGAGTTCAGAATACTCTTTGATTGTAGGTGAACTATAAATCCCAGTAACTATAAATCCCAAATGTCAAGGTCTATTTCCCCCAAACTCCATTTGTGCCAAGTTTGGTCCAGATCCAAAATTGTTTGAGTCCACAGTGCTCTCTGGATGTTGAACTACAACTCCCAAACTCAAGGTCAATGCCCACCAAACCCTTCTAGTGTTTTCTGTTGTTCATGGGAGTCCTGTGTGCCATGTTTGGTTCAATGCCATAATCGGTGGAGTTCAGAATGCTCTTTGATTGTAGGTGAACTATAAATCCCAGTAACTATAAATCCCAAATGTCAAGGTCTATTTCCCCCAAACTCCATTTGTGCCAAGTTTGGTCCAGATCCAAAATTGTTTGAGTCCACAGTGCTCTCTGGATGTTGAACTACAACTCCCAAACTCAAGGTCAATGCCCACCAAACCCTTCTAGTGTTTTCTGTTGTTCATGGGAGTCCTGTGTGCCACGTTTGGTTCAATGCCTTAATTGGTGGAGTTCAGAATACTCTTTGATTGTAGGTGAACTATAAATCCCAGTAACTATAAATCCCAAATGTCAAGGTCTATTTCCCCCAAACTCCTTTTGTGCCAAGTTTGGTCCAGATCCAAAATTGTTTGAGTCCACAGTGCTCTCTGGATGTAGGTGAACTACAACTCCCAAACTCAAGGTCAATGCCCACCAAACCCTTCTAGTGTTTTCTGTTGGTCATGGGATCCTGTGTGCCATGTTTGGTTCAATTTCATCATTGGTGGAGTTCAGAATGCTCTTTGATTGTAGGTGAACTATAAATCCCAGCAACTACAACTCCCAAATGACAAAATCAAAAAATTTTGAGTGAAGGACATACATTGTCCTTCGTGGACAGCAACTTAAATATGAGCCAACAATGTGATGTGGGGGCAAAAAAAGCCAATGGGATTTTGGCCTGCATCAATAGGAGCCTAGTGTCTAGATCTAGGGAAGTAATGTTCCCCATGCTCTATTCCGCTTTGGTTAGACCACTTTACCTGGAATATTGTGTCCAATTCTGACACCACATTTCAAGAGAAATATTGACAAGCTGGAATGTGTCCAGAGGAGGGCGACTAAAATTATCAAGGGTCTGGAGAACAAGCCCTATGAGAAGCGGCTTAAGGAGCTGGGCATGTTTAGCCTGAAGAAGAGAAGGCTGAGAGGAGATATGATAGCCATGTATAAATATGTGAGAGGAAGCCACAGGGAGGAGGGAGCAAGCTTAAACAATGGCTTCAAACTACAAGAGAGGAGATTCCATCTGAACATGAGGAAGAACTTCCTGACTGTGAGAGCCGTTCAGCAGTGGAACTCTCTGTCCAGGAGTGTGGTGGAGGCTCCTTCTTTAGAAGCTTTCAAACAGAGGCTGGATGGCCATCTGTCAGGGGTGATTTGAATGCAATATTCCTTCTTCTTGGCAGGGGTTGGACTGGATGGCCCATGAGGTCTCTTCCAACTCTTTGATTCTATTTGATTCTATGATTCTATTGGCTTGTTAGATGTATTCTGTCCAAATTTGGTGTCAATTGGCCCACTGGTTTTTGAGTTCTGTTAATCCCAAAAACGAACATTACATTTTTATTTATATAGAATATATGAAAAAAGAAACATGCATTAAAAAATGAAGCAGAGAGAAAAGAGACCCAGAAGGCCCAGCTTAGGCAAGAAGCCACCTGTTAAGGAGTCTGGGGCCTGGTTTAAAGAGACAGGACATCATTTTGGGTTTCTTCTTTCCCAGAGAACGAGGGGCATGACTCCTTTAAGGGGCGAGGGGCGTGGCTTCATAGGGAGAAGGAGCGGGGCTTCCCAAAGAGAGAGTGGGAGGGACTTGGCTTCACAGGGGGCGTGGCTTCAAAATATGAATACAAAATATAGAGAGGGCGTGGCTATTCAGGGAGGGAAGGAGAGGGCTTCCCACAGAGAGCGGGAGGGGCGTGGCTTCAAGGTGTGAAAGGCATAGGGAACAAACGGGCCTCCCCGAGAGAGAAAGCGGGAGGGGCGGGGCTTCACAGTGAGGGAGGGCGTGGCTTCCCAAACAGCTCAGGGAGCTTGGCTTTTAAGGGGCGTGGCCTCTCAAGGAGAGCGGGTGTAGATTGGCTTCCAGCAGCGAGGGGGCGTGGCTTCCAAGAGAGAGAGAGAGTGGGAGAGAGCGGGAGAGGCGTGGCTTTGGGGGCGAAAGCCAGAGGGCGGGGGTCTTGGAGACCACGTGGCGCCCTCTTTCCCCAAAGACAGAGAGGAAGAGGAAGAAGATGGCCAAGGCAGCTGGGGGTCCCAAGTGGGGTCCACGCTCTCCTTCTATGGGGTGAGTGGCCCCCATATCTATCTGTCTGTCTATCTATAATTAGAGGAAGGGGCTTCCTTTGGGACTTCCTTTGGGGATTGGGGGTGGCCCCATTGTTCTTGGGGGCTACCAGTTTATGGTTTCTGGGGATTCTGGGAGTTGTTCTTATTCTTCTCTATTCATAATATATAAACTATTACAATATATTGAGGTGAGAATATTTCATATGTCATATTTATACCTAACATACATATTTCTATTCGATTATATTTATAATATGGTATATCTTAATATATTTCTAGTAGAATATATCATATTTATAACATTCTATATCTAACATTTCTATTAGCTTATAACAATACATTACAATATAAGTATCTAATATATTATTATGTTATAATCTAATAGATATACTGTATTACATTTATATTATAATATTGTTCTATATGAAAGGTATATTATATATTTAATATATTTTTATGTAATATATCAGATTTATCAAACATATTTCTATTAGATTATAACAATATATTATATAGCTATAATATTGGTATGTAGGTAATTTATTAAATTTAAATTATTACATATTTAACATATTTCTATTAGATTGTATATCATATTTATAACATTCTATACCGAACATATATTTTATTAGATTAAAACATATTATTATATATCTATATTTATCTTAGATATTTAATATATTTCTATGTAACATACTATATTTCTAGTAGATTATATCATATTTATAATGTTATATATCCAATATACATATTTCTATTAGATTATAACATAATCCTACATTATAATATAAATTTATCTACTATATTATTATGTTATAATCTAATAGAACTTGTAATATATAATATATTGTATTATATTTTTATTATTATACTAGCTTGGGTACCTGGCATTGCCCAGGTTATTTTAAAAAGTCAATTTCTTAATTGTACAAAATACACAAGGTTGTGGGTGAACTACAACTCACATCAGAAGAAACTCCATCAGTACTTAAAGTTTGTACTGTTGGGTAAGTTTGCTATAGATACATCATCTCTGGCTGTAGGGTAAACTATAACTCCCACTATGGTGAGTCAGTCACCTCAAACCCCTCCAGTAGAGTGAGTGAGTCATGGGGGTTCTGTGTGCCAAGTTTGGTCCAATTCCATCTTTGGTGGAGTTCAGAGTACTCATTGATTGTAGGTGAACTATAAATCCCAGTACCTACAACTCCAAAATGTCCCCTCCAGTATTCAAATGTCGGCATATCGGGTATGCATGCCAAGTTTGGTTCCATCATTGTTTGGCTTCATAGTGCGCTCTGGATGTAGTTTAACTACCAACTCCTATAAATCCCTCCAAAGACTACCGGTATGTTTTCTTGGTCATGTGGCTTCTGTGTACCAAGTTAGTTCCAGGTCCATCGTTGGTAGGGTTCAGAGTACTCTTAGTTTGCAAGTGAACTATACATCCCAGGACCTACAACTCCTGTAAATCATGGTGAATTCTCCCCAAGCCTCTCTAATATGTTCAGTTGCTGATCAATTCCTCTGTTTGTTGTGTGCCATAGAAAAGAATAGGAAAGGGTTAAGGGAGAGTCTGTGGGGCATGGCGTCATGCAAATGGGGGGAGTAAGAAACACTGGGATGTCTATGGTGGAAAAAAACGCAGAAAATCTAGGATTAAATGGTCCCGAAATTAAAGCCTTCACTTGGGTCATTAGTGCCTTCTGAGTAGTGGGAGCTATGGCTGTTTGTGGAAGCAGGAACTTGTCTGTGTAAGTGGGCACTCCAACCACACACACACCCACACACATTTTCACTTTTATTATGTGGATAGATTTATTTCTATTTAATATATCAGATTTCTAATATACAGTCGAGTCTCGCTTATCTATCCTTCACTCATCCAAAGTTCTGTATTATCCAACACAGTCCGCCTCCCACCCAGATCCACAGCTGTTTCAATACATTCATAAATATAGTAATTATTACATAACGTTGCCATGTATTGAACTGCTTTTTCTGTCAATTTGTTGTAAAGCATGATGTTTTGGTGCTTAATTTGTAAAATCATAACATAATTTGACGTTTAATAGGCTTTTCCTTAATTTCGCCTTATTATCCAATATTTTTGCTTATCCAACTTTCTGCCGGCCTGTTTATGTTGGATAAGTGAGACTCTAGTCTACTGTATATCAAACATACATGTTTCTATTATATTATGACATAGTAATAGATTATATTATTACATTTGTATTATATCTCTATTAGATTGTATCATATTTCACATATTCCTATTAGATTATATTTTATTTGTAATATTATATACCTAACATCTATTTTTATTAGATTATAATATTAGATATCTATTGATATTATTAGATATTACAATTTGATATTAGATATTTAATATATTTCTATATTATATATAATATTATATATCTAATGTATATTTCTCATTATCATATATAGATATAACATATTATCATAGATAAGATTTTATATTATTAGATATAGCTATATAGAGATATATTATTATTTTATGCAATATATATTTATATTAACTTATTGTGTATTATAATCTATAAGATTTTGTTATTACATATTTCTGTTATATTGCATTGTTAGCTGTATTATTAGATAGATAATATATTATATATTATTATATAGTATATATATATTATATTGCTAGATATTAAATAGATAATATTAGATATTATATTGTTATATATATTAATGTTATATGATATATATTGTTGTTGTTGTTGTTAACATTGAAAATGTGGGGGGAAAAAGTGAGACGTTGTTGTTAAGATCTTCGCACAGCGTTTCCAAATTGGCGGGACTTTTTTTTTCATTCATTCCTTTAACGGCTGCCTCATTTGCATTTTTTCTCCTTGGGAGAACGAGAACGAAGGGAGCTCAGAGGGCGCGCATGCGCAGGGCTTGCGGAGCACAATCCGCGGCGGGAGGGAAGGATGGCAAAGGAAGAGCCTCTCGGAACGGAGAGAAGAGGGAGGGGCTGGGAGGAGGGCGTGACGTCAGCAATGGGAAAAGAACGGAGAGGGGGGCGGGGCCTGCGTGACGTCAGAAGGAACAGCGCCCCCTTCGGAGCCCAGGCAGGGAGGAGGGAGGCGCGCTTGACAGCCGGAAGAGCCTGCTCAATCCCCAGAGGGAGTCATCCCGGAACAGCCAGCCCCCAAGCCAAAGAGCCTGCCAAGGCTTAGCTGACCGGCTTTGGGCCCCCTCGGCAGCCGCCACCCTGGCAGGAGCCAGCGCCCGAGGCGGAGGCGGCTGGGCCGACCCCGAGCCCGACCCCTCCTCGCTGGCGGCGGAAGCCATGGATCGGAAGAGGTGGGAGTGCTCTGCCCTCCCGCAGGGATGGAAAAGGGAAGAAGTGACGCGGAAATCGGGGCTCTCCGCTGGCAAGAGCGATGTCTATTATTATAGGTGAATGGGGGACCGCGGACGGGGGGCTTTAGGGGGACAAGGCATGGCCCACAGTCAAGGCTTCAGGTGGAAAAGCAATGGTCTATAGCTAGGGCTTCTGATGCAGAACGAATGAGCCATAGATGGGGCATAAGATGCACAAGGAATTAGTCATTGATGGGGCTTTAGATGGGCAAGGAATGGCTCATAGATAGGGCATAAGATGCATAAGGAATGGGCCATAGTTAGGTGCTTAGATGGAGAAGCAATAGCCTATAGCTAGGGCTTGAGATGCACAAGGATTGGCATATATCTAGGGCTTGAGATGCACAAGGATTGGCATATATCTAGGGCTTGAGATGCACAAGGAATGGTCCATAAATAGGGCTTGAGATGGGCAAGAAAGGGCCATAAATAGGACTTTAGGTGGGCAAGGAATGGCCCATAGACAGGGCATAAGATGTATAAGGAATGGGCCATAGTTAGGTGTTTAGATGGAGAAGCAATAGCCTATAGCTAGGGCTTGAGATGCACAAGGGTTGGCATATATCTAGGGCTTGAGATGCACAAGGAATGGTCCATAAATAGGGCTTGAGATGGGCAAGAAAGGGCCATAGATAGGACTTTTAGATGAGCAAGGAATGGCCATTAGACAGGGCTTTAAATGGAGAAGCAATGGCCTAGAGCTAGGGCTTGAGATGCACAAGGAGTGGCCTAAAGCTAGGGCTTGAGATGCACAAGGAATGGCCCATAGATAAGGCTTTAGGGGGACAGGGCTTCAGATGGCGAAGCAATGGCCTATAGCTAGGGCTTGAGATGCACAAGGAATGGACCATAGATCGGGCTTTAGATTCACAAGGAATGGACCATAGATAGGGCATAAGGGGGACAAGGTACCGTAGACCAGGTTTTAGGTGGAAAAGGAATAGACCAACATGTTGAGCTTTAACTATACATGGAATGGCTCATAGATAGGGCTTTAGATGTATAAAGAATAGCTCATAGTTAAGGCTTGAGGTACACAAGAAATGGCCCATAGTTAGGGCAAGGAATGGCTCATAGTTAGGGCTTCATATGCACAAGAAATGGCCCATAGATGGAGCTTAAAAGGGACAAGGAATGAACTATAGACCAGGCTTTATGTGGACAAGGAATGGACCATAGATAGGGCTTAGATGCACAAGCAATAGCTCATAGATAGGGCTTAAGGGGGACACGGGACCATAGACCAGGTTTTACGAGGACAAGGAATGGCCCATATATATAGAGAGAAAGAGGGAGAGAGTCATGTCAGGAGTGACTTGAGAAACTGCAAGTCGCTTCTGGTGTGCGAGAATTGGCCGTCTGCAAGGACGTTGCCCAGATGTTTTGATGTTTTACCATCCTTGTGGGTGGCTTCTCGTATGTCCCCGCAGGAGGAGCTGGAGCTGATAGAGGGAGCTCATCCACCTCTCCCCGGATTTGAACCTGCGACCTGTCAGTCTTCAGTCCTGATGGCACAAGGGTTTAACCCACTGCGCCACCAGGGGCTCCATGGCCCATAGATCAGGCTTTAGATGCACAAGGAATAGCTCATAGATAGGGCTTTAGATGCACAAGGAATAGCTCATGGTTAAGGCTTGAGGTGCACAAGAAATTGGCCGTAGTTAGGACAAAGAATGGCTCATAGGGCTTTAGATGCACAAGGAATGTCCTGTAGTTAGGGCAAGGAGTGGCTGATAGTTAGGACTTGCAATAGACAAGGAAACGCCCAAAGTTAGGACTTGAAATGGACAAGGAATGGCTCATATAGTTGTGGCTTTAGAGGGCCAAGGAATGGCCCATAGATAGGGCTTGGAATGGACAAGGAATGGCCCAAAGATAGCACTTGAGATGAATAAGGAATTGCTTATAATTAGGGCTTTAGATGCACAAGGAATGGCCCATACATAGGGCTTGAAATGGACAAGGAATGGCCCATAGACCAGGCTTTAAATGCACAAGGAATGGACAATAAATAGGGCTTCAGATGGACAAGGAATGGCTCATTGATAGGTCTTTATATGGACAAGGAATGTCCCATAGATAGGGCTTTAGATGGAGATGCAATGGCCTATAGCTAGGGCTTTAGATGCACAAGGAATTGACCATAGATAGGGCTTTAGGTGGACAAGAATTGGCCCATATATAGGGCTCTAGATGCACAAGGAATGGCCCATAGATAGGTGTTTAGATGGAGAAGCTGTGGCCTATAGCTAGGGCTTGAGATGCGCAAGGAATGGCCTATAGCTTGAGATCAGGCATTGGCCATGCGTGCTTTAGATGCACAAGGAATGGCCCATATATAGGGATTCAGATGAAGAAGCAATGGCCTATAGCTAGGACTTGAGATGCACAAGGAATGGCCCATAGATAGGGATTAAGGGGGACAAGGGACCATAGACCAGATTTTAGGTGAAAGAGGAATGGACCAACATATCAGGCTTTAGATGATAATGATCTTTATGTATACCCCGCCACCATCTCACCAAAGGGGACTCAGGGTGGCTAACATGAGGCTAAGCCTAAAAATTACAATACAGAAAAGTAAAATATAGCAGACAAATAATAACATCAAATTAAAATACAAACAATAACAAATATACAATAAGCAGACGCAAAGTAAAATGCAGAGGAATAAAAACTACAGTGGGTGGGCCAAATGCACAAGATAAAATTGATACACAAGGAATGGCCCATAGATAGGACTTGGAATGGAAAAGGCATTGAATGTTTGCTGTTTATATGTTGTGCTCCGCCCTGAGTCCCCTTCGGGGTGAGAAGGGCAGAATATAAATGCTTTAAATAATAATAAAAGGAATGGCCCATAGATACGGCTTGAGATAGACAAGGAATTGCCCATAGTTAGGGCCGTAGATGGCCAAGGAATGGACCATAGGTAGGGCTTAAGGCAGTGATGGACAACCTTTTGAGCTTGGTGTGTCAAAATTTGCCAAAAACCTGAGCATATCTTAGGTGGGGTGTCAACTTCGAGAAAAAAACCCCCATAATTTTGCAATATTTATAGTTTAAATAAGAAAAATGTATGTTCCTGACTGAGTTATGGAGTGAACAATGCTCGAATGTGCAGATGTTAAATTTGTATAGCCTTTTACAAATTTAAGGATGGAATTAGATTGGCTCTTATAAGGTGTACTTCTCTGTATGCGGCCACATGTGGCCGCGTGTTATCAAAAATAGCCATGCGTGTCAGTGCTGACACGCGTGTCATAGGTTCACCACCATGGGCTTAAGGGGACAAGGGAGCATAGACCAGGTTTTAGATGGGCAAGGAATGGACCAACATATCGGGCTTTAGATGGACAAGGAATTGACCATAGATTGGGCTGTAGATGGACAAGGAATAGACCATAGATAGGGCTTAAGGGGGACAAGGGAACATAGACCAGGTTTTAGATGGACAAGGAATGGACCAACATATTGGGCTTTAGATACACAAGGAATAGCTCATAGATAAGGCTTTAGATGCACAAGGAATTGCTTGTTGTTAAGGCTTGAGGTGCACAAGAAATGGCTCATAGTTAGGGCTTTATATGGACAAGGAATGGCCCGAGTAGGGCTATAGGTGGTCATGGAATGGTATCATAGTTCGGGCTTTAGAGTGCCAAGGAGACACCCAAAGAGAGGGCATCAGATGGACAAGGAATGGCCCATAGATAGGACTTGAGATGGACAAGGAAAGCCCCATAGTTAGGACAATATATGGACAAGCAATGGCCCCTATTTTTTTATTATTAAATACTTTTTTATTATATATATTTATTTTAATACATACACAACATTTATAGTTCCCACCACCATGAGGATTGTTTTCTTTTACATATTAATTCTTTTTGAGATGAACCTTATAAATTAACATACTATATAACATTTGTCTCCTATTTCTTTCTTTCTTTTTTCCCCCTAATTTTTTTAACTAATTATTTGACACAATCTCATATATAATCAGAAAATATACGTTCAGAAATACTGGAACATGTCTAGACCTGTATGTAGACAGCAACTTGTACAAAGTAAGTATAACATATTATACCATTCACTCGAGTTTAAGACACTTTCAAAGGAAAATCCATGTAAACTATTCCTAACTAGAACTGTGTCTATCTAGCTAACAGTTAGCTAGATAGCCCCTATTTAGGGTTTTAGATGGACAAGATATGGAAAATTGTTAGGACTTGAGATGGACAAGGAATGACCCATAGTGGGGCTTTAGATGAATAAAGAATTGCCCATAGATAGCCCTTGAGATGGACAGGGAATGACCCATAGTAGGGCTTGAGATGGACAAGGCATGGCAAATAGGGCTTTAGACAGACAATTAATAGTCCATATAGGGCTTTAGATGGACAAGGCATGGCCCATAGATAGGGCTTGAGATGAGATGGACAAGGCATGGCCCTTTGATAATGCTTATGGACAAGGAATGGCCCATAGTTAGAGCTTTAGGGGGACAAGGAGAAGACCTGTCTAAGAAACCAGTGCAATTCTCTGTTCTAGTACACAATGGTGATATCGGTTCAAATGACACAAAAGGAGTGGCTCGATGGTGGAATATCTGTATTGGAATCTCCTTCCCTGGAGGTTTTGAAGCACTGGCTAGATTCCTTTTTTTTTGGTCGTGTCAGGAGCGACTTGAGAAACTGCAAGTCGCTTCTGGTGTGAGAGAATTGGCCGTCTGCAAGGACGATGCCCAGGGGACGCCTGGATGATTTTGATATTTTTATCATCCTTGTGGGAGGCTTCTCTCGTGTCCCCACATGAGGAGTTGATAGAGGGAGCTCATCCGCCTCTCCCCGGATTCGAACCTTCAACCTGTCGGTCTTCAGTCCTGCCAGCACAGGGGTTTAACTCACTGCTCCACCGGGGGCTCCACTGGCTAGATGGCCAACTGTCAAGAGGGATTGGATTGTGTATATCCTGCCTGGTAGAGTTTAGCCTGGAAGGTCTTTGGGGTCTCTTCCCACTCGATAACTGTATTTGTCTAATCTAGTCCAATGCATTTCATGATTACACTTGCATCTTGCATTTGAGCTATCTCACTATGGATATGTGTGTGTCTGTGTGTACGCATACACATACACACATATGTTTTGTCCAGTAAAATAAAGCTTGGAAAAGGGAGAAGGTTTGCACGCTGTTAAGTTGCCCAGAATTTTTGGCTTAAGTTTGTTCTTTCAAAAAAAATTAATGATTTCCATTGATCCTCCACTTGAAATTGCTTTCTAATGGGACAAAGTACCCGGTCTGAGCGCCTTGCTTTTTCGTCTCCCAAATATAAAAGGAACAAAGGAGGAGAGTTTGAGCCTTATTTTCTGGGTAAATCAGACATCTGAAAGCTGCCTGAATGGCCATGGAGGCCTTAGTCTTCGGATCCGTCAAGGGATGAAAGGCAGAACGTTGGGGCTATTGAAATGGGCTCACAATGCTTTGGGGTGCAAAGGGCCTGCTGAATCGTTTTTTGCCGCTTCGCAGCTGCCTTTTTTGTTGTTTTTAACCAAAGAAAGTGGGTTTTGTTTCAGAACGCAGAAAAAAAATCCCATGACCCCTTATTGAACTTCTTTGTCCCATTTTCACTGCTATTCATGATATATGTTGGCTCTGAGCTTGAGATTGTGTGTGCGTTTAGGTCTACTATTACTGCTACTATTTATTGTGTCAGAAGCAAATTGCTACTACAGTTATAACGTATTCAAAAACACAAAGTTTAAAACTAAATTTCCCTTGACCAGAAGCTGGCCACTTCGAGTGCCTCTAGTGTGGCTGTGAGAAGGTCCTCCATTGTACATTTAGTAGGGCTCAGGCTGCATTGTAGTAAGTGGTCTGTGGTTGGCTCTTCCCCACATTCACATGTTGTGGACTCCACTTTGTAGCCCTATTTTTTAAGGTTGGCTCTGCACCTGGTGGTGCCAGAGTGCAGTCTATTCAACGCCTTCCAAGTCGCCCAGTCTTTTGTGTGCCCAAGAGAGAGTCTCTCATTTGGTATAAGCCATTGATTGAGGTTCCAGGTTTTAATCTGCCATGTTTGGACTCTTGTTTGCTGAGGTGTTCCCGCAAGTATCTCTGTAGATCTTAGGAAGCTATTTTTTGATTTAAGTCATTGACATGCTGACTGATACCCCAACAGAGGATGGGCTGGAGATGTCACTGCCTTGGTCCTTTCATTACTGGCTGCTACTTCTTGACGGATGTCAGATGGTGCAATACCAGCTAAACAGTATAATTTCTCCAGCGGTGTAGGGCATGGACATCCTGTGATAATGCACCATGTCTCATTAAGAGCCACATCCACCACTGTTTTAACATGATGAGATGTATTCCATACTGAGCATGTGTACTCAGCAACAGAGTAGCAAAGTGTGAGGGCAGATGTCTTCACTGTGTCTGGTTGTGATCCCCAGGTTTAGCTTTCGTATGACATTATTTCTAGCACCCACTTTTGCTTCATAGTCAAGCAATGCTTCTTGTAAGTCAGGGCATGATCCAGAGTGGTGTGCTTCAGTGGGGTTCCTTCCCCAAGTTATCCTCAGACCTTGAGCTGTTTGTCTGTTCTTAAGGTGAAAAGCACACATCTGCATTTTAGATGGATTAGGAATCAGCTGGTCTTCCCTGTAATAGGCAGCAAGAGCACCTAAAGCTTTGGGGAGCTTCTGTTCAACCATTTCAAAGCTCCCTGCTTGAGCGGTGATGACAAGATCATCAGCATAGATGAAATTCTCTGTCCCTTCTGGCAGTGGCTGATCATTTGTGTAAATATTAAACATCGATGGAGCAAGCACGTTCCCCTGAGGCAGGCTGTTAACAATGAAAATAATAAATAATGATATTTTTTTTGGTCGTGTCAGGAGCGACCTGAGAAATTGCAAGTCGCTTCTGGTGTGAGAGAATTGGCCGTCTGCAAGGACGTTGCCCAGGGGATGCCTGGATGATTTTTTGATGTTTTATCATCCTTGTGGGAGGCTTCTCTCATGTCCCCGCATGAGGAGCTGGAGCTGATAGAGGGAGCTCATCCGCCTCTCCCCGGATTTGAACCTGCGACCTGTCGGTCTTCAGTCCTGCCGGCACAGGGATTCAACCCACTGCGCCACCGGGGGCTCCGTAAATAATGATTAATAATATTTATAGATAGTTATAAATTAATAAATATTAAGTGATAATAATAGATATTAATAACAATAGCAATAATAACAAAAATAATAATTAGATTAGATATTAATAGATAATAATAATAACAAGCAATACATAAATCAATTAATAGATAGTAATAATACAAACTTTAAGAACTAGCGAGTTCAAACTGGTGACCTGTTTGTTGCCCATGTATTCCTTTTGGAAAAGAATGTTGCCCTATAAATTTATCCTACATTAGTGTAATAATAATAATAATAATAATAATAATTATTATTATTATTATTATTATTATTATCTTCCTGCCCTATATACCACAACAAAGCATTTTCTAGGTCCCCCCATAGGATTCAGTGGTATCCTTTAGCTACTTGTGGCATCCCGGAACATATTTCCTTTGCGCCATCGTGCTTTGCATCCCATGATGCGGGAAACATCACTTTGATCATGGTGTGTCTTGTCTCCTGTCCTGCAGCCCGAGCGGGAAAAAGTTCCGCAGCAAGCCCCAACTGGCCCGCTATCTGGGCAGCTCCATGGATCTCAGCACCTTCGACTTCCGAACAGGGAAGATGCTGATGAGCAAAGTCAACAAGAACCGCCAGCGGATGCGCTATGACTGCGCCAGCCAGGCCAAGGTGAGCCAGAGCCAGCCCCTCCAGAAACATTGCCTTTCCCTTTCTTAAGGAGCCCACCCGTCCCATACTGTAGCTGTTGTTGTTGAGTCCCAGTATCAACTGAAAAGTAGAATAATAACAAAGCAAATACATCTATTCCCCTCTCTCTATCTGCCTAATCTATACAGTATATCTGCCTAATCTAGCCATTATCTAACTACCAATCAATCAAACCATCTGAGGGTGCCTGCCATAGATGCAGGCGAAACGTCAGTAGAGAATGCTTCTGAAACATGGCGATACAGCCCAAAAAACTCTGTTCGTTCTCTTGGACATCTCAGCGGCTTTCGATACCATCGATCATGGTATCCTTCTGGGTTGTCTCTCTGGGATGGGTCTCAGGGGCACGGTTCTGTCGTGGCTCCGATCCTTCCTGGAGGGTTGATCCCAGTTGGTGAAGCTGGGAGATGCCTGCTTGGACCCCTGGCCCTTGACCTGTGGGGTCCCGCAAGGCTGCATTCTGTCTCCCATGCTTTTTAACATCTACATGAAACTGCTGGGAGAGGTCATCCGMAGTTTTGGAGTTAGGTGTCACCTCTACYCAGATGACACACAACTCTACTACTCCTTTCCACCCAATTCCAAGGAGACCTCTCGGGTGCTGGACGAGTGCCTGGCCGCTGTGTCTATCTGGATGAGGAGGAACAAGCTGAAGATCAATCCCGATAAAACAGAGGTCCTCCTGGTCGATCATAAACCCGACCGGGGTATAGGGTGGCAACCTGTGTTGGACAGGGTTACATTCCCCCTGAAACCACAGGTCCGCAGTCTGGGAGTCCTCCTGGACTCATCGCTTACGCTTGAGGCTCAGGCGTCGGCGGTGTCTGGGAGGGCTTTTTCACAATTAAGACTTGTGCGCCAACTGCYACCGTACCTCGCGAAGGCTGATCTGGCCGGGGTGGTCCATGCCTTGGTCACSTCTAGTTTGGATTACTGTAATGCGCTCTACGTGGGGGCTGCCCTTGAAAACMGCTCGGAAATTCCAACTTGTCCAACGAGCAGCGGCCAGGATGTTAACTGCTGGTGCTCCCTACAGAGAGAGATCAACCCTCCTGTTCAAGGAGCTCCACTGGCTGCTGTTCATCTTCCGAGCCCAATTTAAGGTGCAGGTGCTTACCTACAAAGCCCTGAACGGTTTGGGACCAGCCTACCTGCGTGACCGCATCTCCATCTACGAACCCACGCATTCACTACGCTCATCTGGAGAGGCCCTGCTCGTGATCCCGCCTGCGTCGCAAGCACGTTTGGTGGGGACACGAGACAGGGCCTTTTCCGTGGTGGCCCCCCGTCTCTGGAACACTCTCCCCAAAGATCTTAGACAGGCCCCTACATTGGCAGTCTTCAGAAAGAACTTGAAGACCTGGCTGTTCCGATGTGCCTTTCCCGATTAGGAAATCTCTAATACCAAATCCCAGAAACACTTTATTAGAACTAAGATTGCCGCACACTGCACACTGCACTTGTCCTACAATAGCACCTGTCACATCAGCACTTTTTAATTCTGTACCCTTTTACTCGGGCCCGGCCCAGTTTTTATCTTGTTGATGTACTGTTTATTGTTTGTGGTTTGTTGTTTTAATACTGTTTTGATTGTTTTAATTTTGCTTTAGGTTGTATTGTTGTGTTGTGTATTGAGGCCTTGGCCTTTGTAAGCCGCATCGAGTCCTTCGGGAGATGCTAGGGGGGTACAAATAAAGTTTAATAATAATAATAATAATAATAACTTCCAGCAACCCAGTGATTCCGACCATGCAAGCCTTCAACAACAAATCAAATCTTCTATTTAATCTATCTGCCTAATCTAGCTATACCTAATCTATCTCTATATCTACCTCCCTCCCTGTCTATCTAATCTGTACACCTTGTCCAGCTATCTATTTATCTCTAATCTATATACCTTGTACATCTTTCTACCTATGTTCCTACCCTGTCTATCTATCTATCTATCTATCTATCTATCTATCTATCTATCTATCTATCTATCTATATCTGCCTAATCTATATACCTTATCTATCTGCCTATCCCATCAATTTTATATCAATGTGCTTAACCTATCTATATAATTTATCAATCTATCTACCTGACTATCCTTACTATCTATGTATCATTCTCTCTCTCTCTCTCTCTCTCTCTCTCTCTCTCTCTCTCTCTCTCTCTCTCTCTCTCTCTCTCTCTCTCTGCCTAATCTATCTATCTATACAACTAATCTAGCTATCTGTCTACTCAATCAGTCACTCTAGTCTATCTGCCTAATCTATATACCTACCTTACCTGGCTATCTATCTACTATCTATATATCTGCCTAATCTCTCTCTCAAAAGACAAGGTATGTATGTTGATTGTTTCTGTCTTGCAAAGGCTTGCCTGGGGCTGGAAGGTTCTGGATCAGACTTGGCATAACATCCCCTTCATTTATCCACATAATAAAAGTGAAAATATGTATGTGTGTGTGTGGCTAGAGCAGGGGTCTCCAAACTTTTTAAACAGAGGGCCAGGTCACAATCCCTCAAACTGTTGGAGGGCCAGATTCTAATTTGAAAAGAAAAAATAATGAATTTCTGTGCACACTACACATATCTTATTTGTAGTGCAAAACCGCTTAAAAGCAATGCAATAATTAAAATGAAGAGCAATTTTAACAAATATAAACTTATTAGTATATTAATGGGAAGTGTGGGCCTGCTTTTGGCTGGTGAGATAGGATTGTTGTTGTTCACAAATCCTAAGTGAAATCATACTATGTATTTTTGACATTGGTATTGAAATCTGAAATACATATAGAAAGTCATTGGATTTTGGTTATGGTTAAAATTATATACAATTAGCTTGGATACCTGGCGCTGCCTGGGTTATTTGAAAACACCATTTTTTATTGCACAAAAGACATAAGGTTATGGGTGAACTACGACTCACATAATGCCAGGTTAATCCCAAGAAGCTTCATCAATACTTGAAGTTAGACATGTTGGGCAAGTTTGCTCAGGATGCATCATCGGTGGGGTTCAATGTGCTCTCTGGCTGTAGGGTAAACTACAACTCCCACTACAATGAGTTAGTCCTCTCAAACCTCTCCAGTAGGCTGGTTAGTCATGGGGGTTCTGTGTGCCAAGTGTGGTCCAGGTCCATCATCAGTTTCTGTGGTTGTGTGCTTTCAAGTAGTTTCAGACTTAGGTTGACCCTGAACAAGGGCCGGGTAAATTACCTTGGAGGGCCGTATCTGCCCCCCCTAGGCCTTAGTTTGAGGACACCTGAGCTAGAGTGTCCACTTACACCAGTGGTTCTCAACCTGTGGGTCCCCAGATATTTTGGCATTCAACTCCCAAAAATTCTAACAGCTGGTAAACTGGCTGGGATTTCTGGGAGTTGTAGGCCTGAGAACCCACAGGTTGAGATCCACTGACTTACACAGACAAGCTCCTTCCTCCACAAACAGCTATAACTTCCACTACTCAGGAGACACTAATGGCCCTCCCTTCAATAACATTGCAGGTTATAGTGAGAGCCATTAACATGTCCAAGAGTCCTGACAATGTTTTCCACAAACACCATCCTGCCCACCACTCAAGTGAAGGCTTTCATACGGGACAATTTCATCCTAGATTTGATGTGTTTCCTCCACCACAGACATCCCAGTGTTTCTTACTCTCTCCATTGGTGTGGAATTTGCATGACCCCACCCACTGCCTCTCCCTTACCCCTTTCCTATTCTTTTCTGTAGCACAAAGCAAACAGAGGCATTGATCATCAACTCAACATACTAGAGAGGTTGGGGAGAATTCACCATGATTCATAGGAGTTGTAGGTCCTGGCATGTATAGTTCACCTACAATCTAAGAGAACTCTGAACTCCACCAACGATTGACCTGGAACTAACTTGGCACACAGAAGCCCATGACCAACAAAGGCTCCTCTGTGACTGGATGGTTCTGAACCACATATGGCACAACATCCCCATCATTGATCCTAAAATAAATGAAGGGTCTATTGATCTGTGTTGAGGATGAAGGCTTTTTCTGACAATGTCATCATCGTTCCCCTTCTAAATGTCTGGGTTTCACATTGCTGTGGCCTTCCATCCTCCCCTGGCTTTGGACTCCGGTTCCATGAGGCTTGGGGTGGATGCAGTTGGTAGTCCAAGGCTGCCATTTATCGCCTCCTTTGGGCCTCCCGCTTCATTCCTGTTTTCCTTCTTAGGGCAAACCGGACCTCAATACGGCGCTCCCCGTCCGGCAGACGGCTTCCATTTTCAAACAGCCGGTGACCAAAATCACCAACCACCCCAGCAACAAAGTGAAGACAGACCCCCAGAAAGCAGTCGACCAGCCCAGACAGGTAAGGCTTTGTGTTACATTTTTGTCTGTGGAAGGCTTGCGCTGGACCATGGTTTAATTGGAAGACTATTGTTGCTGATGAAAGCTGGCTTGTTTCAACCATGGTTTGCTATGACATCTAAGCAGGTGGCTGTGGGTCCAAAAATTGGAAGGACACACCGATCTGTTAAGTCTGTAGGATGATCCTGGTTTAAAGCCATAAACCGTAGTTAACAAACCATGGTTTAGTGTGATGCCAGTGTTAATGTTCAAAGGGTGCTGAACCTGGAGATGTTGAACAAAAGCTCCTCTCTCTTTTCTCTCAGCTTTTCTGGGAGAAGAAACTGAGTGGCCTCAACGCGTTCGATATCGCTGAGGAGCTGGTCAAAACAATGGATCTCCCGAAGGGTCTGCAAGGTGGGTTCGCTCTGTCAATCTTGAAGTCTGAGTCCAGCAGTTCACACAATCCTAAACTGCGTCCCAAAATGATCTGGGATCCCAATTCTGCCCCAGAAGGGGAATGGCCTCCCTATGGAATGACTAGGCCCCTCTAATGCAATTCTAGGAGAAGTCGGCCATAGTGTTGCATGGAAGACTACAATAGCATTGCATGGAAGGATACTATAACATTTCATTAAAGGACCTAGCAAAGTCTGCCATAGTGTTGCATAGAAGGATGCAATAACATTGCATGGAAGGATACTATAGCATTTCATTAGAACAGTGTTTCTCAACCTTCCTAATGTCATGATCCTTTAATACATTTCCTCATGTTGTGGTAACCCCCATCCATAAAATTATTTTCGTTGCTACTTCGTAACTGTAATTTTGCTACTGTTATGAATCGTAATGTGCAACCACCATGTCAGACTATACAGAGAAGCCATTGAAATACACAAGCATGTGGACAGTTTCAACAGAAAAGAGGAAACTATGAAAATCAACAAAATCTGGCTACCAGTATTAAAAAAAAAACTAAAATTGCAACAGCACAACAACAGAGAGGAAGCAGGCAGGGACATGGAGCAAACGATCAACAAAAGTTTGCTCCAGGCACAGTCAGCCCATTGTATGCTAATCAAGGTGGTCAGTTGAAACATTCACACCGAGCTCCAGCAGACAAGAGTTCTTTGTCCCACCCTGGTCATTCCACAGATATATAAACCCTTTTTCCTAGTTCCAACAGACCTCACTACCTCTGAGGATGCTTGCCATAGATGCAGGCGAAACGTCAGGGGAGAATGCCTCTAGACCATGGCCATACAGCCCAAAAAAAAACAACAACAACCCAGTGATTCCGGCCATGAAAGCCTTCGACAATACATGTAATGTAAATAACTGATATGCAGGATGTGTTTTCATTCACTGGACCAAATTTGGCACATATACCCAATACACCTAAATTGGAATATTAGTGGGGTTGGGCGGGTTGATTTTATCATTTGGGAGTTGTAGTTGCTGGGATTTATAGATCACCTACAATCAAAGAGCATTCTGTACTCCACCAACGATGGAATTGAACCAAACTTGGCACATGGAACTCCCATGACAGAAAATACTGGAAGGGTTTGGTGGGCATTGACCTTGAGTTTTGGAGTTGTAGTTCACTTACATCTATAGAGCACTATGGACTCAAACAATGATAGATCTGGACCAGACTTGGCACGAATACTCAATATGCCCAAATGTGAACATTGATGGAGTTGGGGAAAATAGAACTTGACATTTTGAAGTTGTAGTTGCTGGGATTTATAGTTTACCTACAATCAAAGAGCATCCTGAACCCCACCAAAGATAGAATTGGGCCAGACTTCCCACACAGAACCCCATGAACAACAGAAAATGCTGTGTTTTCTGATGGTCTTTGGCAATCCCTCTGACACCCCCTTGTGACCCCCAGATTGAGAAATGCTGCATTAGAGGACCTAGAGCAGTGGTTCCCAACCTGTAGTTCGTAGACCATCAGTGGTCTGTAAGAACGAAAATATGGTGTGCTGCCTCACCATTACTGTTGCTTCAAAACTGGTCTCGCGAAACCCTCATATAGTTCCGAGGCAATGTGAGGGGAGAGACTGACTACCCACGAAAGATTATTACTACCACATCAGCTCTAGATTATTAAATATGGTTTTTGTGGTTGAGAAAACGGCGACTACTGGATGGCATATGTTCTGTATCAGAAACTAGAGCTAATGTGGTCTATCCAATGCAGTTTTCTGAATCAGCACCCCAAATAACTAAACCAAATCTCAAGTTGAGCAAAAACTGATTCGTAACCTGTTTTGTACATCGCACCTATCTCCAAAAACCTATCAATCTCACCTGTCATGTTCAGCACTTTAAAATTTTAATCATTACATTTGGCCTGGCCTTAGTTTTAAATGTGTCATGGTGTTATTGTCTAATGCTTATTGCTATTGTTTTAATGTTTATTGCTTGTTTTATGAGTTTATTTATTGTTGTATTTGTTATGCTGTTGTTTTATTGATGTGATGGGTTTCAGCCTCTTGTAAGCCGCACCGAGTCCTTTGGGAGATGTTAGCGGGGTATAAATAAAGAATTATTATTATTATTATTATTATTATTATTATTATTATTATTATTTACTAATGTTGGAGAGTGGTCCCTGGTCACAAAAAAGGTTGGGCCTACCATAGCATTGCATAGCAGATTCTTATACAGGATGTCTCTTGGTCCTCTAATGCAACTCCATGGTCCGCCGGGACAGGAAGTGGAGTCTAATGGGTCCTTTGGGGGCCTCTCTCCCCCTCCCTCCCTTCCTTCCTGCAGGTGTGGGACCTGGCTGCACGGATGAGACCCTCCTCTCAGCCATCGCCAGCGCCCTCCACACCAGCACCATGCCCATCACTGGTCAGCTTTCGGCTGCCGTGGAGAAGAACCCTGGCGTTTGGCTGAACACCTCCCAGCCCCTCTGCAAGGCCTTTATGGTGACCGACGAAGACATCAGGTATTGGGGTGCGGACAGCAGAGTAGTGAGGGAAGGCCACTCTACCCTGTTGCTCACCTGGAAAGACATACACGTTTTAGTCGATCCCAACTTCAACACTAGCCAACAGTGTGGTGCAGCAGCAAAAAAAAGCTAATGCAATCCTAGGCTGCATCACCAGGAGCCTATGCCTCCTCTTTCTCCCACTCAACAGGAAGCAGGAAGAGCTGGTCCAGCAAGTGCGGAAGCGCCTGGAGGAAGCCCTGATGGCTGACATGTTGGCCCACGTCGAGGAGATTGCGAAGGATGGAGAGGCCTCACTGACAAAAGTTGGGCCTGAAGACGGCGAGGAGGAAGAGGAAGATGAGGAGGAGGAAGAGGAGGTGGAGCGTGTCCCAGAGGTGGAGAGCGTATAGTCCAGGTAATAAAGGGATGGTCCCGCAGCCTCCTGGGGATCCTCAAACGTTTCAAGCCGAGGGCTGGTTTAGGGTCTCTCAAACTGTTGGGGGTCTAGATTATAGTTGTTTGTTTGTTTGTTTGTTTTTGTTGTGTTCCTTCAAGTCATTTCAGATTTAGGGTAATCCTAAGACAACCCTCTCACAGAGTTTTCTTGTCAAGATTAATTCAAAGGGGATTTGCTTTTGTCTTTCTCGAAAGCTGAGAGATTGGGACTTGCCTAGAGGCACCATTGGGTTCCTTCTCTGTTTCCTACCTACCTTTCTTTCTCCCTTTCTTCTCTTCCTTCCCTCTGTTTCCTACCTACCTACCTTTCTTTCTCCCTTTCTTCTCTTCCTTCCAATGTCAAATTAATGCCGTTTGACGTCTCTCTCGCCTTGCGTCTTCTTTCCTCTTTCCTATCTTTGCTTTCCAGAGGTCTTAAGATGGTGCCCTTCTGTTGGAACCTGTTCTGTCCACATCACGATTGGCGACCCTCTTCTTCCGAATCCAACCTGTGGACAGGAGAACGCCGTCTGCGGAATGCCCTGATTTGGTGAGACGCTTTTTGAACTCTGTCGCCGAACAAAAATCCTGTCTCCGAACTTCGAATGAGGGTTCGGTTTCATCTTGTATGTATTATTAATGACTCTTGGAATTGGGGAAGTGGCTTCTTCTACTTAGGGGGAATCCTTCCCAGTCCCTGTTTTTCTGGGGTTTTAGATACTGGGTTTACGGGGAGGGCGTGTTTCCTTTTGCTTGTCTTGCCTCATTGCGAAAACGATCCAGAACGGACCATCAGCCCTTCAGAATTGGACTTTGCCTTCAATAAATGCTTGGTTTTGGTGAATCAGGGCCAGGATATTGGCAATCCTGGGGTGCTGATGGCCTCTTTTTTATGTCACTCCTTTTTGCCATCTTCAAGGCATTGGATCTTGTGGTGCCTCCCCTTTCTGTATTTACATTATTGGCACTGAATTGCGTTACGGTTTGCGTTACGGGGAAGCGACTCACAAAACTCCATGGCCCCTTCTCACCCTATTGCAATTTTGTGATTTGTTTCCCATTTCGGATTCTCCCAGATGGAGGGAGGGATTGACTTCGTGAAAACATTGCTTCTGGAATGTTTTCAAGGGAATTTTTTAGCAGTCTGTCTCAATGAATAATAATGTAAATGCCATTGGTCCCAACTTGTTTGTTCTCCTTTGAGGAGAATGTCTTTCCTAAACGACTCCCAATAAATTGAGGAAGTGGGTGTCCACTGCCCCTTTGGATGCTCACATTCGAATCACTCCACCTTCGGCTTTTTGGAAACGCCGACCATCCTTTTTCCGTCTTTTCAGCACATTTGTCGATGACATATTTGTCTTCATGTATGACCCCCTTGGAGGGAATATGGGTTTTGTAATAAAAGTGAGTAATAAAGCGGATTTTTTTTAAAACATTTGATGCGCAAATTATTCAAAGGAGAAAGAGTCCACCAGTGTCACTTTTTCTTGACTTGTGAAAAAATGCTATTTATCTTATGCCTTGCTTTCCGCTCTTTCAGCTATAACTGCAATCCATATATATACTGGGTACAAGTTAACTAGCAAAGAAAGTGAGATGGTGGTCACATTGGGAGTCAAGGTTCTTCTGGACTCTTGGACCAGTCCTTAAACATGCTTCTGGAATGAGCTTTGTGTATTCCAAGCAGACTGGAACGTATTTAGTCGTAATCTTTCTTTATACTGGTTTTAAACTACTTCATTGGATCTGTTGCAATAGCAGAATCCCAGATTAGTTTAGTATTCACACCTTTTTTGTTAATTAATATTTAATGTGTATTTTACTTAAGGCTTTACTGTTCTAATGTAGCACAAATGCTAAGTGAAATCATACTATGTATTTTTGACATTGATATTGAAATCTGAAATACATATAGAAAGTCATATGGATTGTGGTTATGGTTAAAATTATATACAACTCGCTGCCTGGGTTATTTGAAAAAGTCTGTTTTTGTTGCACAAAAGGCATAAGGTTATGGGTGAACTACAACTCAGATAATGCCAGGTTAATCCCGAGAAGCTCCATCAGTACTTGAAGTTAGACATGTTGGACAAGTTTGCTCAGGATGCATCATCGGTGGAGTTCAATATGCTCTCTGGCTGTAGGGTAAACTACAACTCCCACTACGATGAGTTAGTCCTCTCAAACCCCTCCAGTAGGCTGGTTAGTCACGGGGGTTCTGTGTGCCAAGTGTGGTCCAGGTCCATCATCAGTTTATGTGGTTGTGGGTGAACTACAACTCCCAGAAAATGTGGTCAATTTCCCCCAAAGCCCTCCAGTAATCAAATTTCAACATATCAGGTATGTGTGTCAAGTTTGGTCCAGATCCATCAGTGTTTGGTTTCACAGTGCTCTCTGGATGTAGGTGAACTACAACTCCCTCAAATCAAGGTGAATTTTCCCCAAAGACCTTCAGTACTTTTTGCTGGTCATGGGGGCTCTGCGTGCTAAGTTTGATCCAATTCCACCTTTGGTGGAGTTCAGAGGGCTCGTTGATTGCAGGTGAACTATACATACCAGTACCTACAACTCCAAAATGTCCAAGCCAATTCCCCTCAAATCCCACCAGTATTCAAACGTCGGCATATCAGCTGTGCATGACAAGTTTGGTCCAGATCCATCATCGTTTGAGTTCATAGTGCGCTCTGAATGTAGGTGAACTACAATTCCTATAAATCCCTCCAAAGACCTCCAGTATGTTTTGTTGGTCATGGGGCTTCTGTGTGCCAAGTGAGTTCCAGGTCCATTATTGGTGGAGTTCAGCGTGCTCTTAGATTGCAGGTGAACTATACATCCCAGTATCTACAACTCCAATGAATCATGGTGAATTCTTCCCAAACCCCTCGAGTATGTTCAGTTGCTGATCAATTCCTGTTTGCTGGGTGCCATAGAAAAAATAGGTAATGGTCATGGGAGAGGCAGTGGGTGGGGTCATGCAAATTCCAGACCAATGGAGAGAGTCAGAAACACTGGGATGTCTGTGGTGGAGGAAACACATACAATCTAGAATGAAATGGTCCCTGTATGAAAGCCTTCACTTGGGTGGTGTTGGTGGAGGATATTGGCAGGTCTCTTGGACATGTTCATGGCGCTCACTATAACCTGCAATGTCATTGGGGAGGGGGGGGGCATTGGTGTCTCCTGAGGAGTGGGAGCTATAGCTGTTTGTGGAGGCAGGAGCTTTTCTGTGTAAGTGGGCACCCCAGCCGCATACACACACACATTTTCACTTTTATTATGTGTAAAGATAGATAATAAATAATAATAATAATAATAATAATACCCTCTGTTCTTTGCGAACAAAGTTGCTCTGATCCATTCCTATTTTGATACCACATTTACGGCAATATCAGAGGATGCAACACGAGCATCTGCTTGTCCAGTTTTGATGGATTCAATTTAATTGGTTCAGCTTGAGGACGTGTACAAGATCCTGGGAGAAGTGAGGAGCTACCACATGCATCCTAGACCCCTGCCCATCCTGGCTGATAAAACAGGCCAGGGGGGGTTTGGCAGAGTGGGTGAAGGTGATGGTTAATGCCTCCCTGAAGGAAAGATTCCAGTGAGCTTAAAACAAGCTGTTATAAAAACCACTGTTGAAAAAACCTTCACTGGACCCCACTCAATTTGTCAACTATTGGCCAGTTTCCAATCTCCCCTATTTGGACAAAGGTATAGAATGTGTGGTGGCCTCGCAACTCCAGGGGTTCTTGGAAGACACTGATTATCTAGATCTGGCACAGTGGCTTCAGGCCAAACATGGAACAGAAGCAGCCTTGGTCGCCTTAGTAGATGATGTACACCGGGAAATAGACAGGGAAGTGTGTCCCTATTGGTTCTGCGGGACCTCTCATTGGCCTTCGATACCATTATTATTATTATTATTATTATTATTATTATTATTATTGTATTGTCGAAGGCTTTCATGGCTGGAATCACTAGGTTCTTGTGGGTTTTTTCGGGCTATAAAGCCATGTTGTAGAGGCATTCTCTCCTGATGTTTCGCCTGCATCTATGGCAAGCATCCTCAGAGGTTATTATTATTATTATTATTATTATTATTATTATTATTATTATTTATTAACTTTATTTGTACCCCGCTAGCATCTCCCGAAGGACTCGATGCGGCTTACAAAGACCAAGGCCTCAAAACATAGCATAACAATACACAACTTAAAGCAAATCAAAAACAGTTAAAGTAATATTAAAACAACAAGCAATAAAACAATACACCAAGACACAATAAAATTGGGCCGGGCCAGAGTAATGGGTACAGATTAAAAGTGCTGATGTGACAGGTGATATGTAGGATTATCGGGTAAGTGCAGTGTGCCAGTAATCTTAATTTCTACTAAAGTGCTTCTGCGACTTGTTGTTGGAGTTTTCCTATTCTGGGAAGGCACATCGGAACAGCCAGGTCTTCAAGTTCTTCCTAAAGACTGCCAATGTAGGGGCCTGTTTAAGATCTTTGGGGAGGGTGTTCCAGAGTCGGGGGGCCACCACAGAAAAGGCCCTGTCTCGCGTCCCCACCAGACGCGCCCGCGACGTAGGCGGAATTGCGAGCAGGGCCTCTCCGGATGAACGAAGTGAGTGCATGGGTTCGTAGACGGAGATGCGGTCACGCAGGTAGGATGGTCCCAAACCGTTTAGGGCTTTGTAGGTAAGCACCTGCACCTTAAATTGGGCTCGGAAAATAAACGGCAGCCACTGGAGCTCCTTGAACAGGAGGGTTGATCTCTCTCTGTAAGGAGCACCAATTAACATCCTGGCCGCCGCCCGTTGGACCAGTTGAAATTTTCGAGCCGTTTTCAACGGCAGCCCCATGTAGAGCACATTACAGTAGTCCAATCTAGAGGTGACCAAGGCATGGACCACCCCGGCCAGATCAGCCTTCGCGAGGTACGGTCGCAGTTGGCGCACGAGTCTCAGTTGTGCAAAAGCCCTCCCGGACACCGCCAACGCCTGAGCCTCAAGCGTAAGCGATGAATCCAAGAGGACTCCCAAATTGCTGATACCGTTGACCATGGTATTTTTCTGGGACGCCTCGCAGACATGCGACTTGGAGGCACTGTCCTGTAGTGACTCCAGGCCTTTCTGGAGGGACGGTCTCAGAAAGTGTTATTGGGAGACACCTGTTCGGCCCCACAACCTTTGTCTTGTGGGGGCCCGCAGGGATCAGTTCAGTCCCCCATGCTGTTTAATATCTACATGAAGCCACTGGGAGAAATCATTCGGAGTACAGTGTCACCTGTACGTCTAAATCTGTCACTCCTTCCCACCTGTTACTAAGGAGGCTGTCCAGACCTTGAACTGGTGCCTGATACCTGTGTTGGACTGGATGAGGGCTAACAAATTGAAATTGAATCCAGACAAGACCGAAGTCCTCCTGGTCAGTCAAAAGGCCGAACAGGGCATAGAGTTACAGACTGTGTTGGATGGGGTTACACTCCCCTTGAAGACTCAGGTTCGCAGCTTGGGAGTGACCCAGGATTCATCGCTGAGCCTGGAACCCCAGGTCTCAGTGGTGGCCAGGGGAGCATTCGCACAATTAAAACTTGTGCGCCAGCTGTGCTTGTACCTTGGGAAGTCTGATAAGGCCACGGTGGCCCATGCTCTGGTCACATCCCAAATAGACTACTGCAACGCACTCTATGTGGGGTTGCCTTTGAAGACTGTTCAGAAACTCTACTTCAATGGTTGGCAGCCAGATTACTCACCAGAGTGACATACAGGAAGCATACCACCCTCCTGCTATGGCAGCTCCACTGGCTGCTAGTCTTGACCTATATAGTCCTATACGGTTCCAGCCCAGTTTACTTGTCCGACGTATCTCCCTCTATGATCCACCTTGGAGTTTACGATCGTCAAGGGAGGCCCTGCTCTCGATCCCTGCACCTTCAGAAGCGCGATTGGCGGGGATGAGAGACAGGGCCTTCTAAGTGGCAAACAGAGAGGAATTGATCAGCAACTGAACAGACTGGAGGGGTCTGACAGTGGATTGGGACCCAACTTGGCACAGAGAAGCCCCATGACCAACGGAACATACTGCAGGGGTTTGGGGGAAATGACCTTGATTTTGGGAGGTGTAGATTATCTGCATCCTGAGAGCACTCAACCCAGCTAACAACGGAACTGGACCACACATTTGGCACACAGACCCAACATGGCCAACTGTAAATACTGGCAGGATTTGGGGGTGACTCCCCTTGGCATATGGGAGTTGTAGTTTACCCTTATCCCGAGAGCACTGAACCCAACCGATAACAGATCAGGACCAAACTTGGCACACACACCCAAAATGACCAACTGTGCATACAGGCCTGGTTTGGGGAGGATTGACCCACGATTTTGGGAATTGTAGTTCACCCACATCATTATGTATTTTCTAATAGGAGCATTATAAACTACAAAATTAAAGACTGGCTTTTCCCCTAATAAATGGTGTTACTAATTAACTACATTATATTACCTAACACCCAAAACAAACAATTTCAAGTACACAAAGCTAGTATATAATAAAAATCAGTGTTTCTATGTGTGCAGCAATGCGGGTATGTATGTGGCAGCTTTCTGATTGGCTGCCACTTCCACATGCCACTGCGACCCCCACGTATGACGGACCAGGACAAAACTTGGCACAGAGAACCCCCATGACCCCCTTTATGTCCTGGTGCAGTTTGGGGAAGGATGGATGACGGATGATGGGATTTGCAGGACTTTCAAACACCAGCTCCCACAGAACGCTGTTGCCCCCACCAATTATAGATCAGGAACAAACTTGGCATACAGACCCCCCATGACCCACTTTACATCCTGTTGTGGTTTGGAGGACAATGGACCATGGATGATGGGACCTTTAATATCTTCCATCACTTTCTGAGACCACTGTGACCCACACCAATGACGGATCAAGAACAAAGTTAGCACACATGGCCCACTTTACAACCTGATTTGGTTTGGGAGAGGATGGACCATGGAAGATGGGATTTGCAGTACCTTCACCCGATTCACTTCCCACACAACACTGCGGCCCCCACAAATCACAGACCTGGACCAAACTTGGCACACAGACCCCCCCCCCCCCCCCATGACCCACTTTACATCCTGGTGTGGTTTGGGCAAGAATGGACCACAGATTATGGGACTTACAGTACCTTCACTCACTTCCTGAAACCACTGCGACCCTCATCCAATGACTGATCAAGACCAAACTTGGCACACAGAGCCCCCATGACCCACTCTACATCCTGGTACAGTTTGGAGGAGGATTGACCATGGATTATGGGACTTGCAGTACCTTCATTCACTTCCTGAGACCACTTCGACCTTCATCCAATAACTGATCAAGACCAAACTTGGCACACAGAGCCCCCATGACCCACTCTACATCCTGGTACAGTTTAGAGGAGGATGGAACATGGATGATGGGACTTGCAGTACTTTCATTCACTTCCTGAGGCCACTTCGACCCTCATCCAATAACTGATCAAGACCAAACTTGGCACACAGAGCCACCATTACCCACTCTACATCCTGTTGTGGTTTGAAGGAGGATGGACCATGGATGATGGGACTTCCAGTACCTTCACACACTTCCTGAGACCACTGCACCCCGCACTAATGACGGATCAAGACCAAACTTGGCACACAGAGCCCCCATAACCCACTCCACATCCTGGCGCAGTTTGGAAGACTTTGGACCATGGATGATGGGAATTGCAGTATCTTTACTCACTTTTTGAGACCATTCCGACCCACACCAATGACTGATCGAGATCAAACTTGGCATACAGATCCCCCATGACCCACTCTACATCCTGGTGTGGTTTGTGGGACGATGGGCCATGGATGATGGGACTTGCAGTACCTTCACTCACTTCCTGAGACCACTGTGACCCACAGCAATGACCAATCAAGACCAAACTTGGCACACAGAGCCTCCATGAGCCACTCTACATCCTGCTGTAGTTTGGAGGAGGAAGGACCATAAACGTTGGGACTTGCATATAGAAGTTGTAGTTCACCAGAACCCAGCTGACACTGGATCTAGACTAAACTTGGAGCACAGACAAACAATGCCTTTCTCAAACAACCCGGGCAACGCTGGGTTCCCAAGCTAGTAAATAATAAACGCACAAAAAAGCCTTCCCTCCTTGACAACCACAGACACAGCCTTCTTAACAGAAGCCCCTCCTTGATGCTTTATATAAAACCAGGACATCAATGAATACAATAATCATAAGAGCAATAGAACAGCCGCCTTTTCCACTTTGCACCACCCCGACGGGGGCGGGGCTAGGACCAAGGGGCGTGGCTTTCCGCTCCCTCTTTGCGCATGCGTGCTTCCCGCTTTTCATTGTGACGGCTTTGAGGGTCGAGGGAGGCAGTGCGCATGCTCGCGGGCATGGATGCCTACTGCCTCCCCCTCCCTCCCTCTTTCCATCCTTTCTTGCCTCCCCTTGATTGGCTGAAGGCGTCGGAGGCAAGCGGACGGAAAGGGAGGGGGAGGAGGAGGCGGAGGCGAAGGAAAAAAAGGAAGAGGAGCAAGCAGCCCCGCCCCTCCTCACCAGCGAGGTCACGCCCCTCCTGGCGCGGGGGGTGGGGCCAAGGAGGCGCCCCTCTCCCGGATTGGCCCTCGTTTTGAGCGACAGGGAAGCGAGGGGGGAGGAACCGGAGGGGGGCCGCTGCTGCCGCTAAGCCAATAGGAAGGCCGCCCGTTCCTGCTAGAAACCCCGCCCAAGGGAGACCTGTGGCCCCGCCCTCCTCGGATGGTAAGCAATAATATAAGAATATTCATAGCATCATCGTCATTATTCGTATTTATTATAAGTTTATTATTTATGTTTATATTTATTGCTACTATTTATTATAAATACTATTATATTACTATATTATTACTACTATTATTATTTTATTATTGTTATCATCATTATTCCTAACATATGACTATAACTAGTACTGTTATTATATTATTATTACATTATTATCAGCTTTATTCCTCTTAGTATAGTACTATACGATTACTACTACTATTATTATACTATTACTGTCATCGTTATTCCTAACATATTACTATAACTAGTACTGTTATTATATTATTATTACATTATTATCAGCTTTATTCCTCTTAGTATAGTACTATACGATTACTACTACTATTATTATACTATTACTGTCATCGTTATTCCTAACATATTACTATAACTAGTACTGTTATTATATTATTATTACATTATTATCAGCTTTATTCCTCTTAGTATAGTACTATACGATTACTACTACTATTATTATACTATTACTGTCATCGTTATTCCTAACATATTACTATAACTAGTACTGTTATTATATTATTATTACATTATTATCAGCTTTATTCCTCTTAGTATAGTACTATACGATTACTACTACTATTATTATACTATTACTGTCATCATTATTCCTAACATATTACTATAACTAGTACTGTTATTATATTATTATTACATTATTATCAGCTTTATTCATCTTATTATAGTACTATATGATTACTACTACTATTATTATACTATTACTGTCATCATTATTATATGACTTACTATACTATTATATTATCATCATTGTTATTCCTATTATACTGCTATATTTTACTACTGTTATATTAATATTACATTATTATTATTTTCTTTATTTCTATAATTAAATTACTTTATTATCTTTATCACTATTTTATATTAATATACTATTATTATTATTACTATTATATTTTATTATTATCATCACCATTCCTGTTATTATATTACTATACTATTAGTATTATTTCATTATTATCATTCCTATTATATACTATTACTATTATTATTACTATATTATCATTATCATTATTGCTATTATTGTTCTTTATTATTATTACTACTACTACTACTACTACTACTACATTGATGTAATGGGTTGTGTGAAACTTGGCCTCCCTTTTTTGGGTTATTATTAATATAATAATAATTATTAATATTAATAATATTAATAATATTGTAGTTGTAAGACATTGAATTTTTGCCATTATCTATGTGTAAACTGCTTTGAGTCCCCCTAGTGAGAAAAGCAGTATATAAATGCTGTAAATAAATAAATATTATAAAACCCCACGGTTTTGTTTTGGAAGAGCTAGAAAGGCTTTATTGTTATTATTATTATTATTTAAGCACCTCATGGTTTTGCTTTGGAAGAGCTGGAAAAGGTATTATTATTATTATTATTATTATTATTAAAGTAAAGGTAAAGGTTTCCTCTGACATTAAGTCAAGTCATGTCTGACTCTGGGGGGTGGTGCTCAACTCCATTTCTAAGCTGAAGAGCCAACGTTATCTGTAGACACCTCCCAGGTCATGTGGCCAGCATGAATTCATGGAGCACCGTTACCTTCCCGCAGAAGCAGTACCTATTGATCTACTCACATTTACATGTTTTCGAACAGCTAGGTTGGCAGAAGCTGGCCTAACAGTGGGAGCACACCCTGCTCCCCAGATTCAAACCACCAACCTTTCAGTCAGCAAGTTCAGTAGCTCAGTGGTTTAACCCGCTGCACCATCAGGGGGGCATTATTATTATTATTATTATTATTATTATTATTATTATTAAAGCGTCCCATGATTTTGTTTTGGAAGAGCTGGAAAAGGTATTATTATTATTATCACCATAATCACCATCATGTAAGAGCCCCATAGTTTTTTTGGAAGAGTTGTCAAGGGTTAGATTATATTATTATTATTATTATTATTATTATTATTATTATTATTATCAATTTCATCATCATGTAAGAGCCCTGTGGTTTTGTTTTGGAAGAGAGGGGAAGAGTGAAATAGAAATAACAAGTATTTAACTTCTGGAGAGACAAATGAAGCAGGGAGAGGGGAGAGTTGGAAGGGGACCCTTGGGGTCATTTAGTCTGACCCCCTTTAGTCTCTGCCATAACCTTTGTGCTAACATATACAAAACATTGGATTTTGGATGCTGTCAGGATTTGTGGTCCAGCGGCTGGGATACAGAGCAACATCTTCAAGGCCCACATCTCCGTGCGGACAGGCTCCTTCCTCAACAACAACAGCAACAACAACGCTGTCCATGTTTTTTTTCTTCTAGCCCTCTGACCTGATGCCTTCTCCTTTGCCTTCCCCTTCTTTCTGGATCCAAACATGCCTTTTTGCAAACTCTGAACTGTTTCTGTCACTCTATTATTATTATTATTATTATTATTATTATTATTATTATTATTAGGAAAATTTCAACCACTACAAGAGAAAGGGATCAGAAGACACTTGGGAGTCCCCTTTCCCATTCAAAACCCTATAGGGCTGGACTAGATGGCCCTTGGAAGTCCTTTTTGCCATTCAAACCCTATAGGTCTGGACTAAATGTTCCTTGGAAGTCCCTTTTCCCATTCAAACCCTATAGGGCTGGACTAGATGACCCTGGAAGTCCTTTTTGCCATTCAAACCCTATAGGGCTGGACTAAATGGCCCTTGGAAGTCCCTTTTCCCATTCAAACACTATAGTGCTGGACTAAATGGCCCTTGGAAGTCCCTTTTCCCATTCAAACCCTATAGGGGTGGACTAGATGGCCCTTGGAAGTCCCTTTTCCCATTCAAACACTATAGGGCTGGACTAAATGTCCCTTGGAAGTCCCTTTTCCCATTCAAACCCTATAGGGCTGGACTAAATGGCCCTTGGAAGTCCTTTCTGCCATTCAAACTCTATAGGGCTGGACTAAATGGCCCTTGGAAGTCCCTTTTCCCATTCAAACACTATAGTGCTGGACTAAATGGCCCTTGGAAGTCCCCTTTCCCATTCAAACCCTATAGGGCTGGACTAGATGGCCCTTGGAAGTCCCCTTTCCCATTCAAACTCTATAGGGCTGGACTAAATGGCCCTTGGAAGTCCCTTTTCCCATTTAAACCCTATAGGGCTGGACTAGATGGCCCTTTGAAGTCCCTTTTCCCATTCAAACCCTATAGTGCTGGACTGGGTGGCCCTCGGGAGAGGAAATGGGCAAGGTCATGTAAATTCCATACCAATGGAGAGAGTAAGAAACACTGGGATGCCTGTGGTGGAGGAAACACATACAATCTAGGATGAAATCGTGTCCATATGAAAGCCTTCACTTGGTTGGTCGGCAGTATGGTGTTTGTGGAGGATATTGGCAGGGCTCTTGGACATGTTCATGGCACTTGCTATAACCTGCAATGTCATTGGAGGGAGGGCCTTTGGTGTCTTCTGAGTAGCTCTTTTTGGAGGCAAGAGCTTGTCTGTGTAAGTGGACACCCCAGCCACATACACCCATATTTTCACTTTTATTATGTGTTATTATAATATGTGTATAGATAGGAAACTTTGAAACCTTCTTCCTAACACATACTAGATGTTTTACTTTATTGTATTCTGTTGTGGGTTTATTTTATGCTCTATTTTAGGCACTCTGTACTATATGTAAGCTGCTCCGAGTCCCTTCGGGGGGGGGGGGGGGGAGGGGACAAGAATAAAATTCCTATTATTATTATTAATGACCATAATAAAGACTGTTTTTCTATCTATAGAAGACGTTTTGATTTGAACTTGTCTTTTTGCCTCCAAGTCCTCCAGTGCAATTCTGTATTTAATCACTAGATGACCAGAGGAAGGAAAGCCATTAGGAAATTCTCAGGGTCGTCTTCTTGTTTTGGCCAGCAGGTGGCGCCAACACCCTATAAACACCACGTCACTCTATCTTATCTATATCCATCCATGAATTTATCTGTCTATCCATCCATGTATCCCTCTATTCATCTACCACTTCAACCATTTATTTATTTATTTTATTTACGATATTTCTATCCCGCCTTTCTCAAACCCGAAGGTGACTCAAGGTGGCTTACAACTAGGCAGCAATTTGATGCCTAACAATATACAATGAAAACAACATTTAAACAGAATTTAAAATACATTCAATAAAACCTTTAAAAACATATAAAACCAATGCCTTCATTGCTAGTTTCACTGTCCAAAAATCGTCATCTGAGCCGTTCCAGTGTTCACTTTTGTCTAATTTTGTGTTTGACTGTTGCATTAGATTCTGAAGGCTTGTTCAAATAGTCACATTTTCACTTTTTTCTGGAAGGTCAAGAGGGAAGGGGCTGATCTAATATTCCTGGGGACGGCATTCCACAACCAAGGGGCCACCACTGAGAAGGCCCTGTCTCTCGTCCCCACCAGTCGTGCCTGCGAAGAAGGCAGGACTGAGAGCGGAGCCTCCCCAGATGATCTTAAATTCTTAGATGGTTCATAGGGAGAGATATGTTCGGATAGGTAAGCTGGGCCGGAACCATTTAGGTTCCATTTATGCCCAGTAGCAAACCAGCATATAGTTCAGTGTAATTCAATGTACCGTATATTCTGGCGTATAAGACTACTTTTTAACCCAAGAAAATCTTCTCAAAAGTCAGGGGTCGTCTTATACGCGGGAGTCGTCTTATACGCTGGAGCAGCCTTCTGCATGGGAGTTGTCTTATATGCAGGAGTAGTCTTATATGCTGGGAGTCATAGAGCGGGTGCTAAAACTTCCAATCAGGATTGGAGAATCTGTGGTCGCTGCATATTGTGGGGGGAGCTCAAAAATGGCAGTGGCCATCCCTGCCGTATGCAGCGACTGTATGAAAGCATTAAGGGTGGCGCTGTACAAGTACAATAGAAGAAAATCCATTCATCAGGATTCGTGGACTTAATGTGGTCCCGATGGTGAGGTGAAGGGGCACCTCACCTGGAA